GGAGTCGCAGAGGGCATGGCACAGGGTAACATCGCATATCTCGGAGATTTGGAAGAGGGCACCAGACCCTACGGGGGTTCTTCCGCATTCCCCGAGGAGCTTGTTCCAGTCACACGGCTCGGAGGGATGAGGCTTTCGGAAAGTCGTCTCGATCCGACTCAATCACACGGAGGACACGTCTCTGCAACAAGGACGCCCTCAGACCGACCGGCAACCCTTCTTGATTATACTCCTCAAATCGGTGAGTATCCAACGCTCACGAAATTCATTCTCTGTACTCTGAACTGCGTCGTCTCCTCTGACCTCCTGGCTCCGCCGGCACGTAGAATTATTGGTCGGCGGAGCTTTGGTCTTCACCTCGCGAATGTCGTCCGCACCCTCGTCATCAGATGCCCCTCGTTCCTGCCGAATCTTCTCGGCAGGGGAGCGCACTGCATTTTTTCGAGTTAGCGGGGCCAATCCGAGTTTTAAAAGGGGCCAGACCAGCGAAATTATGACGCGCCTCCTCGGGGTCTATACTCTAGCACAGCGATTCTCAAACTTTTTTCTCCTACGTCTCCCTTCTGCCTCTAGGGGAGCGCTCGCGTCTCCCCCGAGGGTCATCGAATATATGAGAATGTAGAGTTTCGACCGAGACATACGGCTTCATCCTCTAATTGTACAATGATTATAAGCTTGGAGTACAGTAGCAATGAGTTTGGTAAGCTTTCTGAAACTTGAAATCAGGTCGGTCGGGAATTCTCAGAACCCTGAGCGTCCCCCCTAGATTTCTCCCGCGTCTCCCCCAGGAGACGCGTCCCCCTAGTTTGAGAAACGCTGCTCTAGCAGTACGACCGAGAAACTTTTTGGGGGATGGGGGGTGGAAGTTTTCCGGAGTAGAGGTGATCGGAGTTGAATGGCTATCTGGAAGAATCTTCATTATTGGAAAATGGGACTCTTTCAGAAGGCGAAAGCTCCGCTCCGAGCCGTACGGAGCTATCAGGGGCTTCTACACGCACCCGTGATCAGCTCTCGGATAACAGCTCTCCTGCGGCTTGGAGTACTACCTGGAGGGAACAAGGATCTCCCCGGGCAATTGGTGACACAGGGAGGAGTGATTATGATACTCAGACGAGGATGAGAGGAGAGAACTTCCCAAGCCCAACTAATCTTGAGGCGTCAGGCGGATCTGGATCCAGCCACAGAGTGTCAGCTTCAGGACACCTCACGACCCAGCTCCCAGCAACAGTTCGACAAATCACTCAGGATGCACCCGAAGGAGTGCTAGGGCGTATGACGGGTTATGCCAAGAACGTCTTCTGGCCTTTCTATTCTTCGGCCGAGAGAGCGGACGCTGGTCCCAGCGACATCATCAGCACCACGTATCGTTTCAATCAAAACTCAGGTTTGTTCAGAACCAATATATCAGAGTACCTCAGAGGGACGGGTGAACCGTCGCCGTCCATGGGTGTTCCTGAGACTAGGTCTCGGTCAGGGTCTCATGGCCCTCGGTTTCTCGCAGCCTCCGCCGTGACTCTCGCTCGAGGTATGCTGGCGGTCTTCTTAGTGTGTAGTGAATTCAATGCCACAACGCGCCGGCGAATTGGTCGAGAAGGTCGATGTCTGTCTTCTCTCGTGACGTCTGTGCAACCTGGGCCTACCAGCACTTGCGATTGATGCTCGACTCGTCTACGCTCAAGACGAGATTCGAGTTTATGCTCCATTCAGGGACACTCCTCAGGAGCATCGCAAGAGTCATCCGTCCTGAGAGAATAGGCGCATGAATGGCCCACAATGAGGAACGACGCGACGTCGACGTTCGTGGAATCGACCTATCTGGCAAAGAAATGCGGAGTTGCTTTTTCTCCCATTATTTGTATCGAGCCCGAGTCGCAAGAGGCAAAACGGCGAGAGGTGCCATGGTCAAAGTTCAAGAAAGGACTGCTCTCTGAGCCACAGACAACAGCGTCTGCGTCTCGAAAGTTGAGCACGGCGGGATTTCTCTCCGTAGAGCGTTTGGGGTACATTGAATGATCGGGCAACTCGTAAACGTATCCTACGAGCGGATATTGCTTCCATAGGTCTGCGGCAGGCAGCGAACGCTGGGAGCGTCGATTTGGAAGATTCCTAACTTTCATTTATCTTTTCCTATTCATGGTCCATCGCCACGGCTGCAGACTTCGATGAGGATAGGATCTCTACGATATCCGACGACTCAAATCAAGGGGGCATCTCAAGTGGAAGTCGACAATCCTCCTCGGGTTTCTATGAAGATCTCGGATCTCAGTATCCGGTGGGCCTCCCTACGGAGGTCAGCAACGTCGCGGGTTCTGGGGACACTGCTCGGAACTCAGAAGACAGCGACTCCAGGCAAGGCTTCGGCCATTCCCCTCGACGGACGGGAGAATCTTCCCTTGAATCTTGGTCCCTCGAGCCCCCATTCACCGATCAAGGAACGATTCTTTCATCTGGTGCCGTCGTCGGCCTCGACGCATCGGGAGCCGATGGTGGTCTGTCGGCAACGAACGCCGCTCTGAAACCAGGAGCGCCCTCGATGCAATCTACTTCAGATCTACGATCATCGCCCACCTTGTCAACCCTTAGGAGCAATGAGCATCCTATTTCGATGAACTTGAACAAAGCATGGATCTCGAGCCTGGAGAAGACGGAATCTCAAGATTATATTCAGCCCTCGATGCCACCGACTCCAGGGAGAAGAACATCCATCCCATCCATCCCGCTTATCCCCGGATCCAAGCCCCGAAAAGTTTCCGAAGCCGAGAATGCGTCAGAATCCTACAGTCATGGCATGCTGACAACGAATGACGTATTTGACAGAATTCTACCGTCTCCCTCCCAGCCTAAGGTTGATTCACGAATGATGAACACACACGATTTCCCAAATCGTGAAGCTGCCGAATCAGTCTACAATTCGGGTCCTGACGGAAGTTACGAAGATTACGATTCTGCCATCCACGGCTTGACAAGGGAGCCACGCTTCACATATGTCTCCGCAGTATCGACTGAAGATGTGCCTCGAGAGCGTTCCGGGGCCCACCGTGAAGCCCCGAATCTGGCCGAGGCGACGCTTCAAGACGATCTAGTCGAATCATCAGACCTCCTAAGGTCTAGGTCGGTGCCACAAACCTCGTCCATCGAGCACACTACCCTTACGCCCGCAATTACGGCCGTCGGATCGAATTCCCTCCGCACAAGGTGAGCGGTTAGCGCGCACTCATCCCCGAGCGGGAGTAAGCTAAGCTTATTTTCTAGTTTTTTCTCCCAGCTTTCCCATTTCCAGAGAAGTATCCGCCTCCGCTAGGGATGAATTGCACAAAACTGAGGGATTCGACGCCGCGACGATCGCTGTTGCGGGTTAGTGCCTCAATATACGAAATCTCCACTATTTCCCGAGAATTTCGGAATTAGAGTCCCATGCACCTTGGAGCGGATAGTCTATGATGTCTATGAGCGAGAAAGCCAAGAATCGCGAGAACTCAATCGTCAGCCCGAGCTCATGCCCGATGATGTCGGCAAGGCCTACTTATGATGTTCTACAATAGAGGCTAATAGAATGAGTATCCTCAGAGCACGACAAGACTGCAATAGAGGACTCGCCGACATCGGAAGCACCTGCGAATATTCCGGTTTCCCACGCAGCTCCCGTACCGCCGAGCAGTTCCCTCTCGCCTTCTTCTAGACTCACGACCGAGCGCGACGTCAATCCAGCCCTGAAACCGAGCACGGCGACGGCCGAAACGACATCCAACCGGCTGCTAAATCCGGAGAGAGTGAGTTGGGACTGCGTAAATTGTACTTCCGGTGGGAACAGGCTTCTCATCCTCTTCTCTCAAATTCACAGGACCCGGATCGTTCCGGATCGAGTCGGAGTGTCGCAGAGGATGAGGCACACTCGAGCGATGATAGAGGGGACGACGAGTCCGAGATCGCTGAAGAAACGATCGATTACAGCAACGAAGTCGAGGTCAATTCGGAGTTGCAGAACGCCACCAACTGCCCGCAGGTTCTGATCGAAGATTCTTCGAAAATTCCAGAAGTAAAAACATTGGAAGTCGTAATTCCATCCGTGCGACAATCGAGCGTGAGAAGTGAGCCGCTCCTGCTCTACCAATGGAAGCTATTGAAAAATAACATCAGCCAGCAATTGGATGAAATCGAAAAGTACATCCTATCGCGAAGGCTGAACATGGCCATTCAGCCGAGCAGATTCGCCGCTCTCATGCTGCACCAACACTTCGACCGACTGACAGAGGCAGACAGGGCCAATCGGAACATCACGGAGGATCTTGACATGTTCCGGAAGTATCGCCTCCAAAAACAGCGGCTCCTCAATCACTTGACCACCTTAAATGCTACAGCGAATATCCAAGAGCTGCGTGATCGCCTCGGCGAAATTTCTTCCCAGCTGATCAATATGGTTCGATGGCTTGTGTCAGGTCTGTCAGAGTCCCGGAGTCTATCGCGAGAGGTGCGGCTCTATGCCGAACAAGTGCTGCGAATCCTACGGAAAATGCTGCTCGAACTCATCAACAATATCAGAAGTTCGTCGAAGGACGAGCTGAGCATAGGGGACAATTCAGATCTTCTCGACTGGGAAATTCTCTTAGGCCGCTCACAAGGGCTCTCTCGGCGTTTCTTTTTCTCTCGAGTGGTTCGCGCAGAGAAGCTGCCTGGAACCTCGCGATATTCAGACGCCGGCTCGACGGAAACAGCCCGGCCGGTCATCGAGGCTTCGGGAGACCCGAGACCACCCAGCCTCGTCTGATAAATAAAATCCTCATTCGCTACGGCCATCATCAGCTCTAGACGCCATGCCGATCATTGCTCGGAACGATAGGTGAAAAATCGCACAGCAGGTCGAAGCAAATTAATCCAAAAGGTCTCGTTCGGCGAGATTATTTATTCAACCGGAGAGTTATCGCAACAACTTCATGGAGTTTGAATTCAGGACTTCTGTATGATAAAAGGAAAACCACAGTGCTTGCTGATCCAAACACACTTTTTTTTTAATTTATTCGTCTAGGTATACGATCCCGGAATATCGATACAATTTCCTCTAGATAACCCGCCGGCTCAATCCGGTCAGGGTTCGTGAATCATGAGCATGTCGTCGTTGACTTTTGCCGCGGGTATTATCTGGAGGTTGAAGGCGATACTTTTCGAGCGGAGCGCTGAGAAAGTGTTATCAAAACGGAGAATGTATTCGGAGGGAGCTGGACACCGAATGCATATGAGTGCGGAAGCCTGTAAGGGACGATCCGTTTATAGGGAGAACATCATGCATGTCAATACGAAGTTACGATCTGATATCAGAATTTATCTTCAGCGAACTTCTCGGTTCGCCAAGAGTCGTCCCAGTTCTATCAATCGTACTTGATGAGAGTTGTATCGCTTATTCTCGAGCACAATCTTCTCTGAATCTGCAAATAAGGATTTTTGGAGCGTCATGGAAATGCAAGGGATGTTAGCGACTATCGACCATGAGCATCTTCCTCATCTGCGAAAAAGTCCCTGCGCACCTTTCGCCGACGCTCGTCTCAAGATAGCAAATGCGATGTCGTGACCGTCAGATTCGAATTCGACTTTGAGAGCGCTGTTCGCCTCTTCGATCAAAACCACGTGATCGTGAACTGAACGGCGACCAACACATGCCTGGAAAATTATGGGGATAGATCATGAGCTTTCGATGAAAAATTGCAGTACCCCTGCCCATGGATCAAGGAATCGACCATCTGAGCATTCGAGTTCACAGGGAGAGCAAGTCTGCGGAACGCCGCACCGTCGAAGGGGGCTAACGTGCCTTTATCAAACGATCCGCCTCGGGGATCAGTCGTATCATCTGCTGGACGACCTGCGGAGCAATTGAGCGTTTGAGTCGTTCCTTGAGCCGATGTAGCTTCACAAATGTAGCTAAGTGTAAGTGATTTACGTGTATTAATCACCTCATTGTTCAGTTTATCGACGTAGGTGATCTCATCCTCACAGCCTTCATCGCCGTTCCTACCGGTCCGCGTTCCACCGTACCGAACCGGCAATTGATCAGCGTCAATGGCGTCCAATAAAACCGGTTTCCACTTCGATGGATCTGGAAGATAATTCTGGAAGATGGCGCTCGAGAGCGGAGCCGCTAAGGGAGTCCGGAGTCTGATTCTTCCAGCTCCGGCATATCATTCCAGCGACGAGAGAGACTTAGTCACCTTTTCCGAAAATTTGTACTTTCGAAAGCGTGGTACCATTGAGCAAGGGTTTCAGGAGATTGAAAAATAGACTGAAGATCGGTGGAGCTGGAAGATAGATGGATGGAATCCGATTGCCGATTCTATCGAGTCGTATACTCTCGGCCCTCATATGATTCGTTTCTATGCGACATGCTGTTCTGGTGGAAGAAATTTGACGTCCGGGCCCGTCCAGACTCTAGACGGTGAATCGGAAGTCACGATGGCGTTATGGGAAGAAATAACCTACCATTTATCACGAAGGCATGACTCAAACTTTCGGGATAATTTAATTCGTAGGTCGATACGAGGTCTCTGTAGATTGAGAACGCTGAAGAGGAGAATGTAGCTCATGAGAGCGGGAAATACATGACCGAGTCGGATCCCTCTACTGCCTCGAGATCAAACTTGGGAAAGGGCTCTGGGTCTGTTTTATATGTGCAGACATCTCTCCTAGATCGCTATCTGCCAATTAGATCAACGATTCGTCAGCGGATCGTTCTAGCGTTGGCGACGCAATTTCCCTTCTCGTCCTTCTTCGTCTTCGTCAGTGGAAGGAAGCCGTGCGACCGGCCCGGAGACTTCTATTTCGCGAGAAAGAAGGAGACACCAGCTTACCGGCAGTCGACAGATTGGTCGTGATGTCGAAGTCCGAGAGATCGAAAATGATCGTGTTCGCTTCGACGTTGCGGCCCGTCTGTTCGAAAATTCCCCATGAGAATGTCTCCGTTGTCTATCTCAACAATTTTGAAGCCACGTCGAGGCCGAATTCCGTGTCGTATGCTCTGTTTGGTATGAGAATTCGAGGCTGCATCTCCAGGCTACTCACCTTGGCGCGTTGCTCTCGCAGAAGCAGTAGTGCTCTTTCCATTCGATGGAGCACGACTTTCACAACGTCGGTCCGTCGAGTGAACTCGAGGAAGTCTGAGACGCAAAGGCAGGCGTTTGAAACAGAGGCCATCCTCGTTCTATACCTCAGCGTACATGAGTCCTGTCGCACACGCGACGAGCTTACATTTCGGTTGCATGTTGGCCATCGGATAAATCATGACGCAGCCCCCGAGTTTGTCGAATCCAAGGATTCCTCCAGGATATATTTTTTGGAGACCCTTGAAGACGGACACGCTGCATTGAGCTTTCTCTGAGTCTATACCAGTCTCGGGTCGGATCTCGGGGACTTACCTTATTGATTTTGAATTCCTCCAAAATATGATCTAGTCTCCAACTTTTTCGGAAGTGAAGGCTCTGAAGTTCGGAGAAGAAGCGATGAGTCACTCTTGTCGATATAACCGCCGCAAAAGAGGCTAGCCCAATGCCCCAAATGTCATCGTGAGCTGGGCTATACGCCGATTCCTCTGCGACCTGGTGTTTTAACAACAATGAGCTCCCGGGGACGCATGTGAAACCACAGACAGGCGTAATGCAAGTCTTCATGAGGAAGGCGCTCTCATTCCCTCCGGAAAGGTTCCTGATATTGCACCTCCATGGCGAGCCAAGGATAGCCAACCACTCGCGGAGAAATGATTCTTGTTTGATCATCAGACTCTCGCTTCTGAGGCAGTCGTTTGCGGGAGTCCAGCAAGCATTCTTCGGCTTTATCGAGAGATTCCGAACTAATTTCTGCGATGGCTAGCCGGAACAAATTATCGAAATGATGTGATCGCTCGTTACGACATTAAAGCTCGGATGGAAGCAGGCACACATTTCAGGCAATCAGAGGCACTTTCGATTTCTCCGAAGATTTCCTCCATCTACGGTCGCTTTTTGCTTGGATTACTCCCCGAACGATCGGAATGAGCCACTCCGAGGGAAGCTCGGAAAGCCTCTGATGGAATAAAATTATATCTGCATATCAAATGGGGTATTTAATGGGGAAGCTCGCGGGTACCTTTTCGAGCATGGCCTTCGCCGCTTCGACATTGAAATTCCTCGCTGAAAAGTACGAAATGTTCCAGACCGCGCTTCGGATATTTGAGCTCTTCCTCGCAGAGCCTTGATTCACACATCATGAATGACGAGCGAAAAGATCGCTGAATCTCGATAAATGATTACCACGCAGCCATCGGAGGCAAAAGTAATCATCGTGATAGTTCTCGGTGAGCAGTCCACGTGCGAGCTGCTTGAACTGGAAAGAGAAATGAGAGGCGATTACCGATTCTGTACTTTAGACTCCCTCCGTCTCGTATGCAGCTCGCACTACAGGGGCTTTCATCGAAACTCTTCGATTGAGGCCACTCTCAGATCGTCCGTGATTTGCGAACATCCAATCGCAAACGTGTGAGTCTCGCTTCCGTTCTTCACGCGTCAGTTCCGCAGAAGTGCTCGGTTTGTAGCTCCAGAAATGGGTCATCATAGGGGTTTTTCTGGTGATCGCCGGAGTCTTTGCCGCCTCGACCTTGCCATATTCCGGGACCGACCTTCAATCAGGTGACTCTCATCCCCATGGAGTTTCCGACTGCGGCCCATCGGAATCAAAAGCGGGGGATTGAAGCTTCGACGCTCGCTCTTCGGCAGACGATTGATCTTGAATTGTACGTTCCCCGAGCCTTGATTACGCAAAAGAGTGATTCTTGACTCCTTCTAGCCAGAAGAAGCCACTTACGTCTTGGTCGCGTGAATGAAGCAAGACTCATACTTCGGAGCAGCCATGCAGCAAGGATCTTCATCGAATTCTGGCTCATCTCATTTCGGAATAGCCCCTGGACCCTTGACCGATCTTACGTTTTCGGTAGAGAATCGAACGAGGTAAGAGGTACTCTGACACGCTGCAAATTCTCGCTGCTTGGCAAGAGTCCGGAATCAGACCGGAAGAAAGGCACTTGCATATCCTAAATACGTTCGGCATACTCTACCACGAAAATGGGATTCAAGGCGGTTCACCTCAGTCAGAGCTGCTTGCTGTCGCTCGGTGAGATGTCCGAGATGTCCCTCCATTTCTGTCCGAGTGAGCAGAGCGTATGGGGAACTCCGAACGTCGGCAGCAGCAATGTCGATTGCAGAAGTGGAATATCTCTCGCCGAATCAGTTGTTTGCTTTCACGCACACCGCACACAGTCACTGTTTGATCATGAGAACACAGCTGAGGCTGAGCTAACGAGCACCAATGCCCAAGATGGCGAGGGAAGGTGTCCAGATGAAGATCAAGAAGAGAGGCAAAGTGGGGAAGGCTCCTTACGCAAACTCGCGTTGCCGTCGACGTCGGTCCATGCCGACGTAGATCCCCGCTGAATTGGAATGAGTCAATATTCGAATCACTTAGCATGGCAAATCCTCGACACGAATCTCACCGAGCATGGCTCCATCTAATAGCTCTGGGAAGCAATATGAGCCTTTCGAAGCTTCGTCTCAATCCATCGTGGAAACCCTTCATTGAGTCCGCAACTCCGAATTATCGGAAGTCCGAGTTGAATCCGAGCGTGAATGATGTACCATGCTGTATGCGAGAATACTGTTTGACCGGAGGGGATTAGCTGCACGTTGCTCTTCGAAGAAGCTGCCAAGTCGGGCTTGAAGATCTCGATGCACAGATTCGATAAGCGCCCTGAGCTCGGCAGCAAAGTCTTGCCGTGGCAGCGCACTTCGTGCCCCATCATTTGTTCCGCTGACCATTATTAGGACGACTACCTCGCCTTCCAAGTGACTGCCGTCGATCCGACTCAATCAATGCGCTCTAGTGACTAAGTCCTCGTCCTAATGCGATTTCCATGGGCCGGAGCCAGCGAATGATATAGTGCTGATTAGAATGAGATGCCATCGAATTGATAAAATCCTGCTCAGAGTTGATAAAAAATGTGAACGATTCCAGGACTTCGGTCGGTTGTCAGAACTACCTTAATCAAAAGCGCGCTCTGGACCCACGTCGCACAGCACGATTAGATCCTTCTGTATACCAGGTCTACAAGGTGAATGAAGCCTGCTGATGCGGAAGGCATCGCTTGACGTTTGAGAAAAAGACGTAAGAAAATATGAAGTAGTCCTCGATCTGTCGGTCGCCATGATTCCATGGTGGGACTGGCCGTCCGTGGACGCGAGGGACCGAGGCTCGAAGAATTGTTCGTGAGCACGAGGATTGCAACTAGCTTATGTTATTGCCCAAAGCTCCGTACAAGATCACTACTTCGTAAGCCTCAACTATCGGGCCGCTCTCCTGGAGGCGTCTCCTGGGAGAATCCAAGCCGCGTAAAGAATCGCTCACCGAGCGAGGCTGCTGATTTGGTAGGCATCAGCAGGCAGCCATGATGCGAACTACCCAATATATTCATTTACTTAGCTTGCCTTTGGAACTGGGAAATATGTTCAGATCTGGCACCTTGCTTCTACGGAAAATGCCGTTGAGGAAGGAAAATCCGTGGTTTATTCTCATCCGCGAACGAGGAACCTCGGGCGGAACGGGCTGTGACTAGTAGCTCGTATGCGACGTCCCTTTCACACAAATCCAGCCCCCTGCTACCCCAATGATGAAAATGCGCCGGTGGATCAACACTGTACAATTAATTAGCTTCTGGAATCGCCCTCCGAGGTTGAGACTTTGGGCAGCGAGGGGAAGAGCTCCTCATCCCCGAAGAGAAAGATTCGATCGTCCCTTCCCTCTCAGCATTGCATCTTGACTCAGCCTTGTTTTGATCCTGTATGACGCAGATATCTTCTCTATTCCGACGCGGTCTCTTCTCGGAGCGAACACGAATGTTCGCGACCGTTTCTTCAGTACGACGGACGTACTGCGCTGGAGTTGGCGATCGATCGAGCCTCGCTCCTCACACCGGATGCCCGTATCTTCGCGACCAGAAAAAAAAACGAGCAGAAGCGATTCTGGAGATTTCGAATAGCAAAACAGACTTCTGGAGGAGTGATCCACGCAGCTCAGTCTAGCGATTCCCTTGATAAGTTCGAACCATCGTCATGCAAGAATGAAGAAAAACGAATGTTGCTCTTCACTGAAGAGGTTTTATGCATTTTAGCACGGAATCGCAGAATTTTTCGCGACTTTCGGAAAACCTCCTAGCGGTACAATTCGGCTCAATTTTCTTGTTCACATCTCAATCATGGATCTTCTGTTTACCTCTGTAGGGAACTTGGATGACGTATCCCGAAACTTCCCCGATTATTTCGGAAGGAATTTCCATGTACAGCCCGGAGCCTGAGAGAAAGTGAACGGCAGGCGAAACAGAAAGTTTCGCTGATCCAGAATTCAAAAGAGGGAGATTGCGATTCATGTGTCGATCAAACTTTGGGGTACATGAATGAAGAGAGATCGACCCAAGTACATAGGTTGAGCTTCAGTAGAAAGTACAATTTTTTCGCCCTTCCCCCGGATTAATGAAATGGAACGGTTCGACGGTCCAACGCGTTCGAGACAGCCGAGGAAAGTGTTAAACACATTCATGGCTTCCCGGTGTCACTGTTGTATATTCATGCGTGATCGCTCCCGACCGTCGCGGTCTTCAAATCTAAGACCGCATACGGATCCCAGCTCGGATGATCCTCCTCCTTACTCTACACGTCATCGAAGCTGGACTGTACCTACCATTTGAGTTCCCTGACCTCGAGTCTGCCATCGGAAGCCCTTCTATCCCCGATAATCCTTCGACCTTGGCGGATTCCGTAGAGCAACGAGAATACGCTCATTAGTGGGTGAGCGACTGATGAACGACGTCAAAGCTCGGCGCGGCGGCAGGGCGATCGCCCAGAAATCTGCGAATACGAAAAAATTGCAGATATCAAATTTCCTCTGCAGACTCATCGACGAGCTCTACCGACTCGTACCGAAACATGGGTGGTCGCCACCCTTGAGGGAGTCCCTCCCGATCATATCTTCATCGGAAGAGGTGAGATAGTGTGTCCTCTTCGACCTTAGGAACGGAGGGCTGGTCCCGGGCTTTGCGAGATCGATGTATTCCTGGGTTCGAGTATCGGAGCCATCACCTGCCCATCGGGAGCAAGTGAAGCCTGCCTCGGAAGTAATCTCCAATGGCTGAGCGAAGCGCCTCGTCCCCTTGCAAAGACGCCACCGCTTCGGACATCTCCGCTCGTGTCGTAAGGTGTCTCGGGTGAGGGCTATCGTTACGGCGAACGAGCTGTCGGCTCCTGTAGGTGAAGAGATTGTCCGTTCTGTACCACTATCAGACACCCCCGAAAGTCCTAGGCCCTAGGCTATCTCAATCTTGGCGTATCCGATGGAAGGACGATTCCCATTGACACGTAACAAACTCTGGCCGTCGAATAGATCTTAAATATTTGACCTCGTCCAGAAATACCGAATGACATGCATCGGATTCAGAATCCGAGAGGTCGGGTAAGCTAGTATGCGAGTGGTGCTTCTCGGTGCAAGTCTCCGTCCGCGTGCGACCCGTTCACCGGCTGTATCTGTGAGCGGGGGAAAAGACCTGAGGAAATTTCCAGCATGGAGCTTTTTCGCTCGTTCCGAAAGTGTTCGAGAGCATCATTCGGATGGCAGTCTCCTGATAATATGCATCGCTCGAAAACGATTTCGTCCCAGGAACCTCGTTTCCGACATGAAGATATTCCAGAGAGTTCTGTGGAACCCGATCCAAGAGCCTGATTCTGCGCTTCCTCGATCCTTAGAAGCGGCTCGAGTAGACCTCAAGCACAAACCAACGGAGGATCATGGAATCTCCATTCGACGCCAGCGTCCTGTCAATGTCCATCCGGAAGTGTCAGCAACAAACGGCACGGGCATCAAGTTATGGAAATACGCCGGGGAATTCCGATCGAGCCGAGTCCTGACCACGTCCTCATCAGAGTCAATCATTGCAGCCGAAGCAACTCAGTGAGCCCCGCTTCGGCAGCCGGTTGCATAACATCAGTGAAGAAAACTACAAATTGATTGGCGTAAGATGGACACCCGCACGAGTTGCCCTCGACGCTCGGACAAGCATTCAATGTGCAAAGCTTGCCCCATCTCGATCAGTCGGAGTCAGTGTTCTTCATAATTGGAGCCAGTAGATACCCAAGAAAGCAGGTGGGGTTTGCAGAATAAGTTCGAGTTGAACCTTCAAGAATCCTGCGATCCTTCAACTTCCTGCCACAGTTACATTTTCCCTGTTCTCGATAAACTTCGCGCGTGCTTCGGTCATTGCTAGACCCGCCCTTCAATCTGGTGGTCTTTCCGGCCAGCCATCGGGGCGACAATCGACGACAGTGTGCACCTGGACGCACCTGAAATTGGCCGAAGAACTCTTTCCGGAGTCAAGATCTTCACCTCGAGTAGCCCGTAACTGCTGAGCGCAGCCGTGATCGTCCATCGGATCGGAGCTCCAATGCCCGTCCGGATGCTATCAGAATGGTGAGGTGGTACTTCTCGTGGATTGATATCCGCTCCCTTCATTCCGGGTATATGAAGATGGGTATGTGTTGCGGGCGGTCTGGGCCTCGAGAGGAGCAAGGTCTCAGCGTCGGTCTGCTTGCGGTTGGTGAAGCCATAATCGGTGTCCGAACTTCCCGACGACGATGTCCTCTCGACCATTCCACGGCTCCAAGAGGCGGGGGAGATCGCCTGACCTTGCCCCGTACTGACCCCCGCCCCCCAAGACGATTCCAGGATCCTCGCCTGCGTCCATGGGAGCCGTGATTGGGCTTCGCAGCCGTGGTATTAAGCGCAATTGCGGCTTTTCTTTAACATGAGACTCTATGGCGGACAGCGAATAACCGCAGTCGAAAACCGCGGGTTTTCATGAAACATGCGGCTCTTGCAATGCCTAGCCGTGACGCGGCAGTGATTTTTCCGCCTGTCAGCCCGGTTTGGAAGCACTTCAGATCGCTAGATCACGTCATTCTGAGCAAGGAACGTGGGGTACGCCAACCCGTTGAATGCATGATTTCTGAGCCTTTCTTTGGTGAAGGATAACTGACGCGAAGCAAGTCAAAGAAGAATATTCTTAAGTTTGTTCTTCTTCAGTCAGGGTCCTTCCTGGGATGTGAATGCGGATCGCTACGGGGGAAATCGTTCTAGACTCTATAGTCATTGAGGTGGGTTCCCCCAATCAAGGGCAGCATGGTGGAACAGATGCCATCTTAGTCAGAACTTCTCTTCCATCCGACGAAGGCTCCGGTCAACGGGATCACGCCTAAAGCCATCATCGAGTGTGATGAAAACTGGTGCAGCTTCGCGGGAGCGATGGCTCCGAGTAAGAACTTGGCATCATATTCGTATCATCACATATCGAAAAGCCAGGAGGCTAGCCCGAGACCATTGCTCCCGGAAACCTGACCGTTCGCGAAAAAAGTACCCGACACATCACGGCGAAACTGTCTCTCGAGCTCCCATGACTTTCCGGTAAACTTCTTTCGGTAGATCTTCTTCCGAGTAAGCCCACCCGAGCTCCCGCTCGCTATCCGATCGGAAAATCAGAATCCAAGCGGGAACTTCCTATACTGCTGGGCACGTACGGAACCCGTCGATCCTGCGAGAGTCTTGGAGCGCTATTTTCCTCGGACCAAGCGTCGTCGAAATCCAGGCACGACATTAAAACTCGCCATCACGGAGCAATGTTCTCGGGAGAAATTTAGGAAGGGACAGCTTTGTCGGCCATCGGAAAGCAGTATCGGCTGGGAGAGAGATTGTTTCAGAATATTATAAATGGTCTGAGGGGGGCTTATCTCTGCTCTCAGCGCTTAGGAATACAGTATAGAATCGCTGCGGTTTCAAGCCAAAATCAGCCGGAAATTCTGTTGTCAGGGAGTCTTGAGCAGTGAATCGGGCGGAAATCCGATTCTTGAAGCTCGCTGCGACGGAGAAGACAGCTGACTGAGAGTATCCCGTCGCGCTGCTCTGAATCGCACCACACATAGAAGCGCAGCCGCGGCCCTCCGCGATCCGTTCAAGATTGAATCGGGGTATTCCGCGACCAGCCAATCCTATGCTTGAAGCACCGAGAAATCTGTGTATTCAGATAATTCGGGAACTCCAAATCTTCCGCATTTGTCTGTGACGGCCATAGAGATCAGGAATCATCACTCCGGGCTTGTATACCTCGTTTTCCTTGATGCTCATCTAAGGAAGCACACTCAACTTCCTCTAATTTTTCCGTGAATCGCCTGATATTACGAGGGAGTTACGCGGTCATCGACGAGGGCCGCGCCGTAAGTGTCGGGCATCCCTTGTACTGCATTCTCGTCGCTCACCTGAATCCGCCGGCGATCGCCCGTTTCGGCTCTATACTGGAATCTCCCGTCTGCGGGTCGTCAGTGGGGGCCTTCCAGTATGCCGATCGTGGAAGCTCCTCGTCGGCGACCGATTGCCGATAGATATCCGCTTACTGGGCAACCACGGTGTTCCGATCCTGCCGATAATGCTGAGTTCGGAAAAGCTCTATTCACGGCCTTCTTCGGCATTCTGGCGCTCGGAGCGAAATATCTACTTGTAAGATCTATTCCGTGTCTGTTCGCGGAGGTCCGCGCGAAGCGTTTCAACAGAGCACCGTTTCCGCTTCCTCGGCGAAGAATCGCGCGCGTAACAGGGTAAATCGGCGTTTGCCGGTGATAAATCCAATCTTGAGACATGAAAGCTCGGAGCCTCCGGGCTGGAGCCCGATGGAAGAGAGACCTGTCGGAGGAATCGTATCTTGAAGCTTGTATTCGAAACGACGGCGGGACGAGCTTCCTCCTACATATTTTGAGCAATGGAGTCACAAAGTGTGCCCATTGTGAACGAAGACAACATTTATCGGAGACTGAGAACTTATCAGGGATGATTCTTTATTTTTTCCTCAACAAGTTTTATCAACAATAGCCGCTATCTTCAGAATGATCGCCCCGCATGAACCATTCGCTCTCGAGTCATTTTGTACAAGCAGTATTTCCATTACATTGATCCCCTCGGAGTCCGGGGAGCTGCACTTCCTCATTTCGGTGAGTTTTCACTTGAGACATACTGTGATCTACTCCCTACCTCATGGCGCCGCGATCGTGTAGCGAAAAGAAAAAACGGGGATTTCGAAGGCTAATACATGCATTTACTATAAGGTTTATGGTAATCCTCAGATAACGCTCCTAACATCTGGAGGCTCCGCGGTCAAGAGAACCAGTACTAACAAATCCGATAAGAAGGCGCGAGCTCGGCTGCGACTCAACAAATAAAAATATGTCGTGGGTCATGATGCTAATCATAGATAAGACCGTAAATGCGTACGCTCCTCGAACTATGGGTCGCTCTATGTACAATATACGCTGCCGGGTCGTTTCCCCACCAAGGGATTGGGAATTCTGACCCAGAAGCGACGCCCGCGCCATCCCTTTCTCAGTCTTTCCGGAAGCTCCCTGGGAAAGCCGTAATCCAGCGAGCTCACAGAGTTCGGAAAATTATTAATGACGACCTAATGGAGGGCGACGCACGTCTCTACCGCCGGAGACGGCTGACGCGTGGCAGGGACACCCTCCATGCATCATCCCCTCAAATCACTCGGTACATGTGAATGTTTTCAGCCCCTTTTTTTGTTGTGGCCCCCCACTGGCGGGAGCTCACTCGTTTTGTTGCGCTTTGCAGTCTCCGCTGTCTCCTCCCTGTACTGTGATCCTTCTCTTGAATCGTCTCATTCGATGAGTCTCGAGAATCAGCCGCGAGTCTACTGTTCGTTCACAGAACGCTATGTGGAATACGAAGAGACGCACAGGGAACGGAAGAGTGCGTCTTGCTCACATGCAGGAAATCATTCGAATCGAATACAATTCAAACCATCCCAATGATCTCCTCTTCGATCGTGACCAACTAATTATTCAACCCCGTGGCTCATGGGCGGGAATTCAGCGTCGTCTTGGAGTCGCAGGCTATTCGCTGAACTCGGCGAATTAGGAGAAGCTTTGGATGCGTCTTGGATTTGATCTGGGAATGGAAACAGTTACTCAGTAACTTATCCGCCGTAATTGTCTACTACGTTCCTCTCGGAGCATCTTAAGACGACTCTGTGCATATCGTTCTCGCTCTTCAGCAATGCAGGGGAAGCTTACCTCCATGCGAACTTTCGACGGCTAAGCATACAGACTAATAAATTCTCATCATCCACATCTAACGAACGGAAAAACATCCGACGGCGTATGTATTTGATCATGTGATCTGATGAGAGGGAGATCGCACGTACGATACAGGGAATATCACTCGTCAATTATTGTGTTATGGGTTATGGGGTTACGCGAACAATGCCGACGAAACCTTAGCCTCAATCTTTCCACCAGCTCTAATCAGCACATTTTCGAATGTTATTAGCATCAGCGGGGGGACGGAAACGACGCAATACCGTCGACGAGATTTGCGAGCAAGCGGACGAACCTACGAGCGAACCAGGGGGATTCAACTACGCTACCTTCGAGGCTCTCGGAGCGAGTATTGATGCCCTCAGCGACCAGCGCGTAACTCATGCCGCCTTTCGGGTTCACACATCCAAACGTACCTCCTCCTGAACTCGGTGTTGTCGGGGCGCCCACTGTTGTCTCGCTGCCAGAAACGCCTTCCAGGAGGTTATGTTGTCGCCAAAAAGAACAATCGCCCCCCTGCTCGACGTTCACGTTATACACGTAGAGGAATCCGTTTGTAGAGGCAACGAGCAGGCGACACTGGCGGTCGATGGTACTCAGAGCGACAACGGATGGAATCCCGGAGAACGTCAGTTTCGCAGTGGCGAATGAACGACCTTGCGCGAAAACATCCGAAACCGCGAAAGGCAGATAGCTCGAGCCGGACATCAACGCTTTCCCGAACATGTTCATCCAGCCGGCATCCTCTTGGAAACTGCCCACGGTGGGTTGCGCACTTGCGGTGCTCGATGCGCTGTTCTCATCCAGTTTGAAGATATGGACGGTCTGTTGAGAATCGATCTAGAGTATTAAACCGGAATGCAAGGACCCTCCGGGTGACTTGAGTTGAGCTGTGACTCTACAGCACGGCCATTTTCAAAGCACCGGTGGCACCATTCTCGATGGTGTGAACTTACCTCTGTATTGCTGGCACAAGCTAGGAGTGTAGATTCGGCGTTGAATGCCAGGGAATATATGGTGGCGCAACGTTTCAAGCCTCGTCTCAATTCATATATCCGAGTTCCATCGGTCACTGAGAAAACTCTGATGACGGTTCCTTTCTCTGATGCTGATGCGAGAAGCGAGCCTGATGTGGGGTCGAATAGCTTCGTTAAGTCTCGGAGTTTTCTACGGCCAGAAGTTCCAAATTCCTCATGGGCCTTTCATGCTTTTCATGCAAGCGCTCCCCGTGACGGTGCCTATCGGCTCACGGCTAAATGTAAGAAGGAATTAGAAGTAACGCCTAACCGTTTGTGTTGAATGCCAGAGCGGCAAGCGGGGAGTTGTGAGCTGGAATCATTATTTTGGCGCAGAGATTTTCTGTATCGAATATCTGAATTTCACCCATGGAGGTACTCCCTGGATAGGCGAGATAGGTCACACCTGAAAGTTTTGTCAACATTAGCGGATCCAAAGGATATCAACTTCGGAAAATGAATGATAATTCTTGCTTCATCACAGCATTGTGGAACAACGAAATTCTGCAACCGATGATTGCCGCGGGAATCACGACGCGAAATGCTGTGCGAGATCGGAGGCTCCCATGAGTTTTGCTCGTAACGATGCCCTACCTCTGTCCGAGGCTGTCGACAGAGCGCAAACACCCTTCGGATTCGCTGGAGTATCTCGGATCGTGTGAAGTACTCTCATGTCCTGGATATTGTGGATGTACAGCGATTCTTCGAGGCACACCACTACCCGCTGGAATTAGAGCCGAATCGGGTCAAACCCAGGTAAGAAATTACGAGCGGTTCTTCTGTGACGCTGCTGCCAATGGGAATTACGAATTAGACAAGCGCATAGAATCACGGTTACTCACAGATCGATTCAACTTGACGGCGAGAATCGCGTTCGAGTAGGAAAAGTTTGTGATTTCCTTCCCCCGTTTGAAGTGACAAACTTTCAACTTCCGGGAGCTCGGTAGGCTGACGAATGCCACCAAACTCGAATTGAAGAGCCGCTCGATTAGGGCGATATCCTCCTGCTCCCCACTGTGATGAATCTGCTCGAGTCGATCGACATTGTTGAGGGCGAAGAAGCGATAACCAGTTTTTGTGCCGACCGCCAAAGATCTGAAATCACCAAGAGAATCGTGGGTCTCTCTTCGACGCTCTTCAGTATAGTTCTCTTATCCGGAACCCCTAGGCTCTTGGCCTTCGAAGCAGCAGCGATTCTCGAACCGCATCTACGCAGAAGAAGGCATCTTCTGCGTCGAATTTGTTTTTCAGGAAGCGTCAGCGGGGGCGCCTGCAGAATCGGAAACCGAGACTGGGAGCTCGATTCGATTCCCAATTTCACTGCGAGATCGCTGTAGGTGCGGCCGAATGGAACGATTGCGTCGTTAACGCTCCCTCTTAGAGATATCCGGAACGCTCCGATTTTCGCCTTCGCACTTACGTGAAGTCCTGGTTGAAGTTGACGAAAACGCTTTGTTGCGAAAAAGGATCGTTCTCAGAATAACTCATCTTGACGAGTTCTATCTACGACGATCAGGAGGATCCCGTGCTCAACCCGAAACCAACTATGCGTCACAAGCGTCCTAACAACAGATCAGCTGTTGTTCCTCCTCTCGGGGACTGTGTCTGTTCGCTGCTGCAGCTGTTATGATACTCTTGTGTGTGTGCTGCTGCTGGGGTGTCCCAAACAGTCAGCTCAGATGTTTACATTGATGGATGCATTCCCCAGCGTCTCTCATGAGCGGGCGCTTAGAGAAGTCACGAAGTCCGGGCAATGTGCGCGTCATGTTGGCCGAGAGAGTTCATCGCTGGAGAATCGACGAAAAGCAGGCTCGAATGGAGCCTGTCTCAGCCCCCAGAACTGTAGGCTACAGCAAGGCGGAGGACGGACAAGAACCGGCCCTCGGTACTGCAGAATCCTCGGGCAGAGACGCGCAGCGAGCAATGCTTTCAACTCTGCACTGGAAGGAAGGAACTGCATACCCGAAGACGAGAGGATACGATGTACACGATCGAAGTTAAAATTGGGGCTCGGGGGAAGATGTCTTGCGACCTTTGTTGTCGCAAGCCAGTGAGGCAGCACTCTGTCCCCTGGATCGAGGGAAACTCACGACAGCCCAGTACGAGGTCAGGAGATGGGCCCTAGGCTTCCAAAACTCGACTGTATTCCGCCCATTCCTCGATGGGGAACTCGGCTGATCGTCTTCCGTAGCCCGGGAGATATGCGATATGGTTCGTTCACTCCCCAGAGTGAATCTGCTACCGTGAACGAGTTGCGTCGATCTTAGATATGATAAAGCTGGGCGGAGTGGAGACAGCTGCTCGCGAACGTGAGTAGCAACTTCGAGAGCAGTTCGATCGCTCTCAGATTGGACCGACTCCGACAAACGGACGTCCATGTCCGAATACTGACATCCAAGACGATGGATAATGACATCTGTGAAGAAGCAAACTTGACGTGGATCACTTGTTGGACTTGGAGATGGGAAATAGATCTACCCTGACGAGGTATCGTATTTCGGATTGATCAGAGGAACCAAGGAATCCCGATCCGAGAATCTGCGTGGAAGAGCTCTTCTGGCGCTCGCAAGAGCTGGACCTCGCGCATGAGATGTGGTGTCTGTCGGTCACCGCTAGCAACTGTTGAAGCTGCAAAGCGCACGGCCAAGAGAGAAGCACTGTTCGCCTTCTTAGGCCATTTGCAGCCTGACCCAAACCAGTGCATATCCTTACCTGGGTATGGTTCGGGTCACGGGGTCATGCGTCGTCAGTTTTCACCCAATCTGATTTCTTTCCAAACGGGCATCTGGGTCCAAACTGCAGTAAGCAGTGAGTGGAGTTATACACTGCGCCATCGTTGCGCGTCGACATTGATCGTTAGCGTAGCGGCGCTCGTGAATGGGGAGCGCGCGAATCGGACCCGCTCGAAAATCGGATCTGCGCTCAATAGAGGCGTCACCGGACCCGGGGACATCTTACAATTTATCAGTGAACAGTTCGTTCTACACGGAGACCTCGGACGATTACTACTCATGCCCCCGGTGGCGGAGTTGAGCTTCTCGGAGAGACCACGAACGAGCAGGAGTAGAAATTATTAGGAGTAGAAATTAATCTGAGCATTGCACGCACTTTATCCCCTCCGGGTCTACTCCCGGATGGTCGTGACACCATGATGGTCGAGCGAGTAGTGCTTTCGGCGCTTGGCGATGAAATACTTCCGTTGCTTCGAAGACAGTAGCCTCCCGATATGGCTGGTGTCCACCATCAGAACTACCGAATAAGCAGGTCTCGAATAAGTTCAGCAATGGCGTCGAGAAGGGTTCTGCGACCGAGAGCCTACGGGAACCGTCGCTCCACGCAGGCCGAGATCAATCCTGCCGATAGGGTCCGAATCAAACACTCTGGCTCGCTCAGGATGGCCCCGGCTCGGAAGATTCCCCAGCTCATCGGGAATCCGTACTCGAAGTGAACGGGATGAAACTGACAGAGGGGAAGAGAAGTCTGTGAACCATACCCTTGGTAGAGTTTGCTCGAACTCTCGTCGCGTTTAGGCAATCATGCATTTTCTCTGACCTTGACTGAAGTCATGCACCATTCATAGAAAGTTTATTTGAGCCTGAAAATGCCGCGATTTCCGGCTAACAAGCCGCGACGAAAGCCGAGCTCTATTCATGGTCAATTACACTCGAGCAGCGGTAGATCTGAGGAAGCAATTATTCGCTCTTGATTGCGAATCCAAACCTGTCCGAGACTAGTTCTGTCTAATTTCGAGAGCAATCTTCATCGGTGCCGACGGTGAGGTCAAGCCCCGACGCCAGAGTAATTTTAAATACACTGTAGGTGACGGTGATGGTTTACACATCCAGGACATCATTCATGAAGTATTCGAGTTTTCCGGGAATCTACTGTCCCTCCTTAGCACCATCCAGTGCTCAACTATGTCTCGTTTATCAAAACACTCTTCTAGATTTTAGTGGCCTACTCTTTGCCCGAGGAGCGGTGCACGAAAAACCATGATTCTATTTATGAGCCAGCGCGGAGAGTCAAGACCTACCAAGACCCCAATGTGCAGAGGTCTGTGATTCGGGAGCTCCGGTCTCAAGCGGATAATCGGTACGGAGCCTGATGGACTGAACGATCGTCCGCAGATGTCTGCCACTCCAAGGAGGAGACTCACGCGGAACGGAACACCGCGAATCTCCCGAGAACAACCAAGAGAGGCTCTCACGTAGAGGCTCTCGGAAAATTAAAAAACTCCCTCCAATACAAGTCCCCTGTAGTATGTAATGCAAGGTCCCGATTTGTAAACATCGAATCAGTTATTTTAAACATTGTCAGGTATAAGCTGAGAGACTATAGCTATTGTGTAGTGATTGCCGAGCTTCACGTCGAGAACACGCTTGTCCGCACGACTCCGTCATCGCTTTATCGACTCGAAATCGCTCTTGGAATATCACGAGCCCCTCCCCGATGAGAGCGCCTCGCCGAGGACATTTGAAAAAAAGAATTCCGGGTCACTATTGGAAGACTCACGGTAGCTAAGACGATTTATCGGAAAGCTCGCTGTCCGGATGTCGAGACTCCACCCTTCCTCCATTTCTGATTCCTCCATTCCTCCCTTCACTCCTGAGTCCTAGGTGGAGGGTCAGACCCGATAAGCTTCCTGTCGCGGTCAGGCTACGAGGAATTAGGCGATCAAGATTCGACCAATCGACTGGCCTCGTCCCGATGAAAGCTGCCTGGTTCGCGGCTCAAGTTTCAGGTCGGCTGTATGTTCTTGTGGTCGAATCGAGGCCGACCGTCATACCTGAAAGGGGAAGCCCTCGTGGAGGCGAGCTCATAGACTGTAGAAGACGACTCTTGGTTCTTCAGCTCGCAAGACTCTGAGATGTGCATCAAGCCGATACGACGTCGCCGTATCGACGAGTATATCGTAGCGACGAGCTCAGGCGAGCTTGACTTCGGGCGGAAAAGTTGTACCGACGGCACGCGCCTATGTCATTTCTCCTCCAAACGTACGTTCCACTTCGTTGAATGCCTCAGCGACGCCGCTCGTGCGAGAGGTGGCGTGGGTTCGATTCCTGCAGCTTACAAAATATTGCTTACGGTAATATCCGAAAGGAGGAGCAAGTACTCGGCCTCGGTCCTCCCGAGTACATTTGCTCACTGGATCCGTCCTCGGGAGCCACGTGGAGAACAATGCCCAGGGCGATGAGACCCGGCTGTGCGACCCGACCCAAAAAACCTTCCGGCAAGAAGATTCGATTCAGAAGATTTTGACGCGTCAGGTCTTCCCCGGACCGCTTCCTAGCTAGCTTACGGACTTTCATCCTAAGTAGAAACTTCCGCCAGTCGGAGTTTCAGTCCCCATTTACTCAGTGAGTGCGGCGGTCGGTCGGAGCCCGCGCTTGATGCCTCCTCTGAGGCGTCGAATCATAATGCATTGGTCTCTCCTTGGTTTCCAGTGACAGCTCTTGTTCGGAGGATTGGTTCGTGACAGTGAGGCCTTGTCCCTCAAGATGATAGAATCCACTCGACGGCTCCTTCTGCCCGCCGCCTGTCTACACACTACTTACCGACCAGCCTATCTTCTATCGACCTACCTACCCGGTTTTTCGTGCGGGCGCCTCTCAAAAAACGGAGCAGCCGAGATTCAACTTCACAATCAACAGCATCAGCAGCCCCCGTATCGGCTCCGGATTTTCTGTCTTTCTGACGCCCGCTCGCTGAAGTTTCGTCGTCTTGGCTCCTCTTTGTGCTCCTCTACCACGCGAGGTGGCAGATTGTCGGGATCGCGGGTACGCCGCGCTGTCGAGCGACCGAACGACCCTGTCAGACAGTAGGACTGTGCGCGAACTTCGAGCCAGTGCCCCTAACGGTTACGGGTCTTGCTTTTCCGCGTTCTTGCCTCGAGCTCTTGCCGCCAGACCGCAAAGGCTCCCCATCGACAGCCAACACATTTCCCTCTCTGCGCTTCGCATTACAAGTCACCGGTCGACATCTCGTTCGTAGTGACTGATGGCATCGACGACGGAGAAGACGGTGGCGTTTAGAGCTCCAGATTATATTTCTTCTCACCTCCAGCTCCTTGACTGAATTCCCGGAGCGTCATTTTCTGTGATGCTTCGATGCCGTGCATGATTAAGCGTGGAGTAGACACAGCCGAGTCTCGAATCTCTACCTGCTGTTGGAGCCAGGGGTTCTTCTACCCCGCGAGGGGAATGTTCCACCAGGAGCTCTCATGCTTCGATGATAAGCTCCTTGGTCGAATTCGAGTCCTAGACTTCGATTCATAACAATCTTATCGATATCGGAAGGAAGCCAATCGAAGACCAAATATCCTCCTGACATAACGTCAGAAGCGGTTGTTCGATGGGTGGACGGCTTCTCAACCATCAGCTCACGACGTTTCTGAAACCATTCCGGAATCGCCGATACCGAGTCAGTCAAGAGTCTCCGGAATGGTTCGTACCAGAAAGTTAGAAGATTCCCAAATATCATTTGTGGGTTCACGTATATTAAAGGACACTGACATATTCCGCGATGACCTGATCAACTCAGCCGCAGCTTCTCGCGGATGAGCAGACGTTGTTCGTTTTGTGCGACTTGGCATCATTACTCCATTTCGGAGAATCGTCTCATAGGTTTCGGATCAATCATTGAAGGGTTTTCCCGGGATCAACCGTGGCAAGAGGGATGAGAATGCACTCCCTATTCCCAGACTTGCTCAAGCCCCGACATCTCCGGGCGAATGTGTTTGTGGGAGCGCGCGATGTAGGTTCCTTCTCTTAAAAGGTTCTTCAAATAATATGCGACTCGAGATTCCCCGGGGTGCACTCCTCCTCTCCCCGACTCACACTGAACGTAGAGTACATTCCATTCCATTGAGCGGGATGCTACCGGCTGACTGACTAGTCGACCGACCGACCGACCACCCGCCCGCCCGATTGGCTGACTGAGCTGGCTTGCTAACACATGGATCCGACGCATACCGCAATGGCTACTGGAATCCGCTTGTGGGCTTTCGAACGCCTGGTCGGCTAGAGAGTGCGATTGGTCTCACGGCGAATTCAAAGCGTAGTGTACCGAGTTTCGAGGCCGTGCTCTTCGGGGCTGCAGCACGGATCGAAACCTTGGATAAGACGCGGTACAAACCATCTTCTCGCTCTCGAGAGAATCTCCCAGGAGGAGGACCAGATGGATGCCCATGTTCATCAGAGCCCGAGGTGAAAAGGCAGCCAGCCAGCCGGTAGCCAACCAGCAGGTTGTAGGTTCGACAGCTCGAGCCATTGTCGATGTTCAAAAAGCCCGTTCCCCCGAGCGACAGGTTGAGGCCAGACACAATTCGCAAGATCGCATGCGCCCCTCACCACTTCCTCCGTTGCATATGGCACACTTTCAGAATGCATCCGGAGTGGTCGCATATACGATGTCTCGAAAAGTAACTTCCTAGATAATCCAGATCTTTCTGGGGGTTCTTTGCTCAGAATGCGGGCATGCTCTCGACCTCAACACACTCTGAACGGCATCCACGGAGGCACTCCCGGTGCACTTTCGACTATGCGGGCGAGCTCAGGATGAAAACCGAATTTATTCGGATCGGATGATATCAAACACTATCGCAACGGAGAAGAATCAGAACTCCGACACGAACGACGGTAACTCTTCGATACCAGTGATTGATCATGACGACCCTCCCTATTTCGAATTTCGATATTGAAGATTCGCTCGAAGAGGTTAGAGTTGATTAGAGTATCTGTCAGATGATTCCTACAGATTCCTCGCTTATATGGAGACTACGCAAGTGTTTCAGACTACATAAACAGAAGGCTATCGCGAGTGAGGGATTAGATGCCATCCCGTACACCGATTAGCCATGCTCCGTTCTTACACTACAGCAAGTCAGCTGTTCCTACATTGATCGGAAATCTGAAGATGCTGGATGTAGGATGGATGCTGGAAATACCCAAGAGAAACAGCTCTGAAACTGGTTTTCCAAAGCTCTTTTCCCCCCGAGTCTGAGGTGGAGCCATCCGTCCGAAAGGACATCGAAGCGGAATCCCTTTTCTATCACAGACGCTCCATTTCGATCATCCATCCGTCGATCGAGCTAAATACATCGAGCGAGGGAATAGAGGTGGGCTCCCCCGACATCAGATCCTCCGAGGAAATAATCCGAAGATCGACCTACAATCAAGAGGCACTCTGTTCTCTCGGCACACAGAGCCAAGTTCACGAAGGTTCGGAGACATACCTACTATAAAACTCCGACGAAAATTCTGGATTCTCAGGTCCCCACCGCGGATGTAACTCATGTATTTTCCCAGCCTCCTTGACGGGACGGCTTCGGGACCAGAGCAACCGATACGGACTATCAATGTTTGAGCTCGAACACGCTGATCGGAGCGCTTCATCGTTCAGAGGTTTCGCGTAAAAAAGTGGAAGGCTCGTCGCAGTTGACCGAGGTTCGAGATACAGCTTGCTCTCCGCGGTCGAGAGTACGATCTTTCGGCCGTGTGCTGCGGTGAGAGTCGAGGGCAAAAATAGTTCGATGAAAGTGAGACTGTAAGAGATCGCTCGGAGGCGGGCTCTTCTGTGAAGGGTCGAGGTCTCTCTGCGCTCAGCATGAACGCGGGCGAATACCCGATAGAAATTACCGTCGAGAGACTCCTCAATGAGCGTGTCTCGGGAGGGAGGGAGAGAGGTTGAACGAGAATTGCGGCAGAATTTTCCGGACTTGGAACCAGCGGAACCGCCTCTCCCTGAACCCAATTCCACCGATTGCGATGGAAACGGCTCCCTCGTGCGAGAGCCGCGAAGCTACGGTCTTACCACCAGCGGTGGTGGCCGCAAAGGCACCTATGATGTGCTGGTGCCAGGTGGTGGATCTGTCGCTGCTGCCAGCTCTTACTCTTCGATCGCTAGCCGGCCCGCCAGTTCGCTCGGTGGGTCGCTCGCTCCCTCGCTCTAGCAAGGGTAGTAGCAGCTCGTAGCAGCAGCGGCAGCAGCAGCGGCAGCACCGCAGCAGTGAGAAGGCAGGTTCTGAGAAAAGCCAATATGTCGGTCGCTCTGTTTACTTCGTCGGAGGCAAGCGTAATCGAGCAGCCACCTCCCCACGGAAAAGGTCTATTTGCATCGGTCGACACTCCACTGAGGGAAGCTCGCTGTTCTAGCTATGATTGGGACTCTGACGCGGGACTTTTCCCGACGAATTAGCTCTTCCAGCATTAAGAAGCGGTGCGCAGTCCAAAGAGGCGTCTGAGAGTGCCCGCTAAACTGGCGGGTTGGCGAGCGATAAGCCGAGAGGCCGCCCCAAGTCGGACCAAGCAAGCGTGTGTTTGGAGTACTGGCCGCTCGCTTGCTGCTGTGCTGCTGCCGCCGCTCTGTTGTTGCGGGTGTGCTGTTGCTGCCGCTGCTGCTGGTTGCTCCGTGTTCTTGTTATCCAACCGACCAACCTTCGGTCAATCGGACAGTCCATCGATCCGTTCAGCAGTCCGTCCCGTGGAGTACAGTGACAGTGCCTCGGCTCGATCGGAAATTTACCGCACAAAGCGGCCGCTGCGAAAACGTCGCCCGGGTGAACTTGAATAGAGGGACGGTGTATCGGTCAGTCGGTCTCGGGCTAGGTCGGCTAGTTCGACGATCGGTCGCTCGATCGGTCCATCGTTTACTAGTCCCTCACCACACACACACTTACACACACTCGTTCGCCTGCTCACTCGATCGCTGGAACGGTCGGTGTTCCGTCATTGCGCCGCTCCGGCTTCCCATCGTGTTTGTCTGCGTGAGTGCGTGTGACTGTGTGCATGGATGAAAGATAGCGTGCAACCGAGTGAGGGGTGAAGCGACGTGCTATCGCTTACCAAGAGAGCTGTTGGGCGGTCAGTCGATCGGTCGATCCGTCGATCGGTCGTCGGAACGAGTCGTCGATGCAACTGAGTCGTCGACGCCGACGTTTCCTACCGCCCCCCTCTACGCGACTCGGAGAGTTTTCTTCTGTGCCATTTTTCTCCTCGACGGAGAAAACGACAATAAGGACGGCCTGTACAGCAGGCTATCGACTTCGAGCGACGCTCTCTCTTCGCGAATCGGGTTCTGAACAACATCTACGGTCTACGAGTGCACTACCCGCCGCGTGAGAAATCATTCGCTGATGAGATTTGAAATTGTTGTTCTTGATGTGCCGCCCTAAACCAACGTAGACGACGACGACGACGACCAATACACCAGAAGAAGAAGAAGAAGAAGCAGCCTACCCAGCTCGAAGTGTGCTAGTCGTGTATAGTGTGTGTGTGTGTGCGTGTCGTCGTTCTCATCGTCATCGTCGTGGTTCGTGTTTTCCACAACTGCCACCGCCACCAGTGCCGCCGAAATCAGGGCTGGAAGCGGCCGAGGCGACCAATAACACGGTCGTTTTTCGTGCCAAAACCCCACGGAGGAGCACAAAAGTTCCTGTCCACGCTAGCGATGTATCTGCTGCAGTCTCCTGTTCTGATTCGAGAACCGTTTGACAAGTGCTAGCTAACGGAACTTGGTGCACAGCATCGCTACAGCGGCTGCACCGGCGTTTCGCGAACCCCAGCGCAGAGGGATCCCTCACACGACGATCACTGACGACGGACACGACTCAAGGATTTTCTTCTGCGAACGGTTCTCCAAGACAGCTTCAAAATTCAACCGGATTTCGAGATGCCTCCGGACGACGACTTGTCCGAGGATTCCAGCTCGCGCGACACTCGAACAGACGAGGCCGACGCTGAGGGTGTTTGGAGTGTAGACATCGAAGAGGCTTTCAAAGAGGCTATGGACATCTATCCTCCGTGCGGTCGTCGAAAAATCATCCTCAGTGACGAAGGCAAAATGTACGGTCGCAATGAGCTCATAGCACGGTACATCAAGCTACGCACCGGTAAGGCGCGAACGAGGAAGCAAGTGTCCAGTCACATTCAGGTGCTCGCTCGTCGGAGAGCCCGTGACTTCCAGTCGAAAATGAAAGCTTCCGGGGCGAACAACGCGCCCACCGACCCAACCACCAATATCAAAGCCGGGGTGATGCCCTCGACGTCGGCTGGCGTTGGACTCGGTGGTGTCGGCAGTGTAGCGAGCGGTGTCTTGCCGTACCCAGGTCTGATGGGCTATGCGCCCGGTTTGTGGCCCACGGCGTCCTCGTTGGACATCAAACCGTTCCAATGTGGCACAGATCCGACGGAACTCTTGAAACACGAACAGCAAACACCGTCTGCGATCATGTCCAGCATGCGACCTCCTTCGCCCATGAACTCCACTAGGATCAGGAGCTCGAAATTGAAACTTTGTAAATTTTCGGCATTCGTTGAACCGCGCCTGAGCAACAGCAACAACAATAATAACAACAACAATAATAACAACAACAATAACAATAATAACAACAATAACACAAACTCCAACGGAAGCGCCAACAGTACGATTAGTGAGGACGAAACTAAGAGCCACCTGTTCGTTCATTTAGGACCGTCCCCGCACGATCTAGGTTCGCCCTTAGAAGCCATTGATATCCGCCAAATATATGACAAATTCCCTGATAAGAAAGGCGGTCTCAAAGAATTATTCGACCGCGGCCCGTCGGACGCCTTTTTCTTGGTCAAGTTCTGGGCCGACCTTAACACTGGCAGCATAACGGATGACCACGCCGAATACGGAGTAACCAGTGTCTACGAATCGCCTTTCAATGATACCATTGTGTGTTCCACAAAAGTCTGCTCTTTCGGCAAGCAGGTGGTGGAAAAAGTCGAGACCGAATACCCACATCTCTGCACGGACTCGCACCAATATATATATTGTGTAAAATCGGCGATGTGCGAGTACGTCATCAATTTCATTCACAAACTCAAGCGGCTTCCAGAGAAGTACATGATGAACTCAGTGCTAGAAAATTTCACAATCTTGCAAGTCGTTTCCAAAAGAGACACTCAAGAAACCTTACTTTGTATTGCATACGTGTTTGAAGTGTCCTCGGCCGCGCATGGAACTCAGCACCATGTATACCGTCTCGTCAAAGAGTAATAATAATTTAAGGGTAAAATCGTCGCCAGATGAGAGGCTAGGATTCCCTCACCCGCATTCCATCCATACATCACGACGAATCAATCATGAATTAAACAATCAACATTAATCATCCATCCATCCTTTCATCCACCATCCATCCATCCATCCATCCATCCATCCATCCATCCATCCATCCATCCATCCATCCATCCATCCATCCATCCATTCATCCATTCATCCATCCATCCATCCATCCATCCATCCATCCATCCATCCATCCATCCATCCATCCTGGCCTCTGAATCTTCATGGACGCATACGAGCATGAAAGCTGTCTAGTGTCGACCTTGACAACAACAAATACTGCAGCAGCAGCCACAACAACGATCCTATTGTAGCATTACTGATAGACTGATGGCTTGTGAACATTGGCAGGATTACAGTCCTCGTTGATGCTTCCATCTCGTAATAGAGCTCCCTGTTCCGGTAGAGATCATGTGCTCGGCACCGAATCAAACGCAACACCGGCCCTGGTGCATCAGACAAGCACGTAAACCTAGGTAGAAAGAGCGCCACCAACAAATGTGCCAACATAGTCATAGACTTCTACATTTAGGTATGAAATTAGGCTTTCCATAGTAAATATTGAGAAAACGAATGAATCCTGAGACGACGGTGATTAATGTAATATCATGAAGAACCCCGAAGAGGACGAATGTATACGCCATCACGACCCGTCAGCACCGTCGACTTAACACTAGCGTCGGCTTCCCGACACTTGGATGATGTAGTCGGTAGTGGAAAAAGCAATCGGAAACTCTGTAAATAAAGCCGCGCTCCCAACAATGGACCTTGAGATACCGAATTTTCAATGAGGGAGGAGTGGGATTGATTAGTTCGATTCGATCTGGTGTTTTCGATATGATTTCGAGGATCGCGTCGAGGAGGATATCATTTCATCAACACGACGCCACTTCCGCTTCCCTTGGTCAGGTGAATCGTAGGTATTCGAAGTGAGTTGCCGGCTTTCCCCGCTCCGAATTGACCTCGGGGTTCCTTCTCGCGAGAAGCCACTGCGAACAGAATCTATCCTGGAGCAGGATGTGTGACCCTTATAATCTCGCCTCTGAGCATTTTTCTCCCCTTGAAGCCTGAGCCAGGCGCCGACCTGAGCGCGGCTCCGACGGAGGTACCGAATGGATTCACGATTCCAGATTCAGCTGAACATGAGATGCAGTAGCCGACGAGCAAGCAGAACAAGAGGAGCGAATTGGATAGTGGGCCAACTCGTGTTTGTAGCGAATGGTTTCATACAGTGACTCATCTTGTTGCTCACTGGCTAGGTCGCTCGCTTGATGAGTCACTCACTTCACGCGGAATCCTGGACATTTATCAAAAACCAAGAGCCCGTCACTGGGACTACCGTCATCGCAGCGCTACGGAGAATTACCCATCGGCACAAAAGAATAATTACACAATGATGATGTATTAAGGATCGAGTCTGCGGGCGGTATCGATGTTGAATAACTTATCTCGAGATCAAGAACAGGTGCCCGGCGGTCAGAAGCGTGTCGAATCCTGAGGCAATATGAAGACTTGATCCTCTTCAAAATTTCATGTCCATGCCACAGGGACGAGTTCATGAGTTCTCCGAAGTTTCTTCTGCTGTCTCCTTCTTCTGGTCGAATTCCTAGCCGAAAGCCTGTGTTTCGGATTATCTTGTCCTTTTTGCCATCGAGGACCGCAATTTCGAAAAATGAGGCTCTTCGAAGATGGAGTTCAACTACTGGGAGATGGGATTCCCTACGATTATCCGGGTGGTGACCTGTGGCGCGGCTCGCCATGATTGAAATAAACCTCTGGGGATCTGTTCACTCACGAGTTCCCGGATGAGACCGCCTTGTTTTCAGTCGATCGAGAAAAAAAGCCTTCGAATATTCGAATCACAAAAGAATGATTCCCGACTCAAAACTCCCAACTCCCAATAGTTGAATCATAAATTATGATTGACGAGTTTGTTGTCCGCACGAGACGCTCTCGTGCCGCACATTATCACCGTGCTTCCGTGAAGCTTTGACGGAGTGAGGCGGAGACTACCGAATCTTCTCGTTCATTTACCGAGCATCATGCGATGGCTGCGGATGACTTCAGCCAGGCTACATTGGCTCGGGAAATCGAAGTTATCTCGACATGACATACAGCTTCCAGGATTGATGAATTGCCCAAATACGATTCCACAGGACCACCCTCAGAGTCCAGATTCGGAATCGAAGACGTCAGGCAGGACAGCCAAGGAACCTGGACTCGGAGCATTGTCGTCCAGGCACTCGTCGTAATGAACGCTCACCACTCATCGCGATCGAAGCTTCACTCCGGACGCGAACCCTTCCTGCGTTACCCACAACCATCGGAGTCGAGCTCGAGTTAAATCTGAGAGAGACCCACTATACTTAAAAGCGAATACGTGACGTCATTCGAACGCAATAAGCGCTGAGGCGGCTGCTCCATTCGACACCACGGATGAGCGTTTGTCGTAGGAGAACGGCTCAGATCGCCGTTGTTGACGCTTTGGATTGCCCAGCTCGCTGGCTGCTTGAGCGCCCGGTACGTAGACGGGTTCTCTCTGTAGGTACCTATCTCTCAATCCAGTCTCCATATCTCGCTCAATCGCGCGCTCGCTCGCTAACTCTTGGCTCAATCGAGCTCATTCTCTCGCCCTTCCCCTCTAAGCGGGTCGGTAGTAGATCCGGCTGCCGGTGTCGTTGCCGCTCGCTCCGTTACTCCTCCACAATCTGGCAGCATTCGGCGTATTCCAAGTATTCGAGTCATCCGAGAAACTCCAACCATGCCACTAACGACAAGAGCGACGAGTACCGGCTGGACTGCTCCCGTCGCCGCCGGGAGAAATGCGAGCCGTGCTCGAAAGAGCTGCTGAGTGCCGGAAGCAAAGCCAAGATGATTACGCAATACTCGCGGCCTATTCACGAGGCTTGGATTCGTGAGCTGGATTTCTCCGGAGCTTGCGAGAGCAGAGGTCCCTCTCCGCACGGATTAAGCATGGGGTCAGCACGTTGAGCGCAGACCGGAACTTGCTGAGCCCGTTCGCACTTGGCAGCCCTAGCCGGTAGAGTCAGTGGGGTAGATCAAATTCCGTACAAGACCTGGACGTTGCCCCTCAGATTTCTCCCCAGCTTCCCGGTTGGTCCCGAAGCGCTTCGCATTTCATGCTCTCCGGCGGAGTAATGCGATAGGCTGTCCGGGGATGAGGCAGTCGGGGGTATAGGCTGTCGGACCACGTGATCAGATATGCCATCCGTTCCTCAGTTCTTTTGATGAGCGATCCACGGGAAAATTATGAGAGATTACCGCATTATCGTCGCGACTTGCGACCTCGGACAGGTTGCACACGGCGAGATCTGCACGCGGGGCTATGAGCGATCATTTGATCGGGAAACGGTCGCCATATTCGCGCTCGGCGGGATTTCCGCCGTCGGGGGTCGTGCTGTCTCAAATTCTCCGTCCCCGAAGGATCCGCCCGGTGGCCTATCTCGGAATGGCAGAGCATTTCCACACATAAAACGACCTCCTCGGGGATCTCTTAGCGCTCCCCTCTTATTTCAACTTTTGAATCGGACCTTTTTGGTTCGAGAAGGTTCCCGGCAGAGCTGTTAGATTACCCAGCGATAATCACGTACGAAAGCTCTGACGAGTAGAATCCGTTCTGCTCTGGAGCGGACGTCTTGGAGTTTTGTTCTCTCCGGCTCGCTCTCAGCTTCCGCATCGACAGCAGCGCATCTCCCTCCCGATTGGGGAACGTGGGAGCTCAGACGTTTCTGGCCGGAGGCCATTTCCTTCGAAGCGCTCTCCTCTCCTCATTGATCTATGGATCCATGATACATGGATATTGTACGTTGAGGGCATGTGGATATAATCAGCCTGAGGAGAAAACGTATGAGATCCTGGCTCTTGAAAAAAAGTCTCGAGCGAAAGTTGGAGACTCGTAATTTTCTCGCTCATCGCGGACGGAAAAGATGACGACGATGGCAAAGGCTCGCAACGCGTTGATAGCGAACCAGTAACGGACACCACAATGGTCTGGCTCGATTCCCGACAGGAGGAGTACGAGTAGATTTGGAGCGGCTCCCGGACGCGTTTTCTCCCGAGCGATCGAGTGTTATTCTAGTCAACATCATCATTCAGAATAAACCATAGCGCCCTTAATTATTCAGCGGATTCTCTCCACAGAGTGAGCGGCTTCCCAAGAGAGCTACCGCAGCAAGCCGGCAGACGAAAAATCGGATGGTGAGATAATTCGTATTTCAAGCATGGGAGTCGCGTCTCATAGCTTCAGCACGATGATATTACACCTATCATCGAATGAGCAGCGCCAGAGGAATCGTCGAGCTGTCCTGTACTCGTGACTGCACATCGTGAACTTCGATGTTCAGGAGAGGGTGCCTTGCGGTGGAACGTCCTTCGATGGAGTGGCAAGGGATTTTACAGCCGTATTTGAATCAGAACAGCTGCTCTTCGAGATTTCCCTCACCGTTGCACGGATTTTCTCAACGTGAAGCGCTACCCGGAAGACGCTCCTCCGAATTCCAGGCTTCGGCGTCGATTCACCTCCATCGGGTTGCCCTCCGCCCGATGACCATACCGGAGAAAAATAGCGTCTTAAGCGAGAGGTTCGACCCCATTCGGGATAAAGCTCTGCTCCTCTGGCTGCGGAAGGAAGCTAGCGTCTGAAATATGTATGTCCACCGGAGGTGTCTGGGAGGGAAGAATGCGAGAGCTCCGGTGCGGCCTGGGCACTCCGAACTGAGCATCGCAGATCCAAGAATCTTGCGGAGCGCAAGATCGCCCTCAATAGAGCTCTGGGGTTCTTACATGTCGTGGGCCGTTAGCGTTCACAATGATGACAGGAGGCGATCGATACAGAGAGATGTCCGTCATCAATCGATCCGCGAGCTCACTCCGCGACTCGTTCGTCCGCCTCTTTGGAGGAGTTGGGGGAGACGCGAAACTTCCCGGGAGATCATTAGGAGTTATTTGAGCGATTGTGACGTTGTATTGTCTCTCACGCAGGTACCCGTGCAGACTGAACGGGCGCGGTGGACTCTGTCTGAGTAGATCATCGGACGATTAAGGCTGAAGATGACGACAGAAATAGTTTCTGTTCGAGGGGGCTCGGCTTCCATTCAGATGCGAATTTTCGGATTCTACTCACGTCAGACGGAGAGGAGAGGGGGGACTCCTCTTGGCGAGAATGGCGTGAGCGCCCGACTCCAATCGTCGAATCGGAATCTCGCGCGTGGATCGCTGACAGAGAAAGGGATCGCCTCGGCCAGCCGACCCCCCGAAGTCCATGCCCTGTCCTATGCATGTGTCTCACGGCTATCCGGGAGTCCTCTCCCGAGGACTCGTCAATGGAGAGAGTTTGATCCATATAATCGAAGCAGAAAGGGAAGTCGCTCGAAAATCGGCGAGATTCCGCATTCATCACTCTCAATCCCCTTTCGATATAAGGCATGGGTGCACGGCTCCAACGGTCTCGAGGGGCACTGCCCAGATACGGCACGCCACGGTGGCCTGCGAGCATCATTGGCAACCGCTCTCCATGTTGGATTCTAGATCGATGTCGAGCGTTGAGCTTTCATCGTCAGTCGTTCAGACTAGCGGGAAATTTTCATGCTTATGTCCATGAAATGCTCGGTACTCGGCATTCTCACCCCGTCTCTACGTAGTTGTCCCGAACACTAGGATAGTCGTGAGCCGCAAAAGAGGGAGGCTTCACGCCGCGCTTCATGAACCTCTGGTGCAGGGGCTTCAGCTTTCCTCGGGACCGCGGAGTCTCCGAGAGGTAAGCACCCAGTCACAGCAGACGTGATCTGAGTCCGAATCAATCGCGCCGGACTCTACGGAATCGATACCCCTGACTCAACGAAAGAAGCTTGTTCCGATCGGATTGAAGCTGAATCGGTCAAACTTAGCCGGTCAGATCCAGAACCTGAGCCGATCGAAGCGGAACTTACCGAAAAGAGTCTGTCCGATGCGATTCTTATGTACATATCCACAGCGGAGCGAAAACTCCACGAGTGCGAGTCCCCGTGGGTGGCCCACCTTCCGGCGGCCCACAGGAATTACGGCAAAGTAAGGATCAAACGTCGTTACCCGGCCATAAGTACACATTTGTATTTATACAGATTTAGTTTCGTTGTGCAAAACTCGAGCTGATCTAACTTATAATACAAAATCGATTGCCGACTCCGATGGAGCTGCGGCCGTCACTGAAGCACATCCTTAGCAGTCCTCCTCGCCCTCGTCGAAAGACAACAAACTCTTGTTCTTCACCGCCTTGACGTCACTCTTCTTCTTCGGATCCCCGTGAAGTTTCTTCCTAGTTTTGTTGCTGGTCGTGTCATCCGAGCTCCGAGCGCTGCTTCTCTTGGTGCCGAAATATATTTTCGACCCCGCTCCCGGGTCGGCTGGCCTCTCATCCTCATTCTGGGGATTTTTCCCCTGGATCCGCTCGGCTTCTTCTTGCGTCAGATCTCCCGATTTCAGAACGACGACCTGCATCAAGACGGAGTCAAGAACTTAGATTACCAAGCTGCCCGCGTTCAGCCGGGGATCATCATAGATGAAGTGTAGTCTGGTCATTACCTGCGGCAGCTCATCGTCCTGGTCTTCGTGCGCATCAGCATCGGCTTGAAGGAGTTGCTTCTGAAAAGAAAGAATCGGACGTCTAGTCTTCTCGCCGGCTCCTTTCTGCCGTGATCCCAGCAGTCGATGACAAACAAGCTCATATGATATCTGAAGATCTATCTACTCACTTTGGTCTCGATCGTATCCTTCGTGAAACCACACTGTTCTTTCATCTTCCGTAGAAACGGAGGATCCGAAGGCTTCACGCAGTGGACGTTTCTCTTGGCCATGGCCAGACGTCAATAGAATCGACCTATCCCCAGGTTCGACAGGAAGGCGGGAGAGGGGTGTTCTGCGTTGCAAACGATCGAGTGAGAAGGCGGGACATACACGGAGTTTGTCCGCGCGATATGAGTTTAGGTTTTGCAAAAAGAGCCTAGACTTTTTGTCCTAAGGGAGATTTCGAACGTAGCCTGGCATGGCAGCGCCGGCGCCGCTCGGGAGGAACATATGATGCGAACAATGATGTGGATGATTTCTACTGTAAGAGCCACAATGGAGGCGGGACGCATGTACATGGGCATTTTTCGCGCTGCCAGGCGAGGTCGTTCTCAGAGTTCGATTATGAATTGATCTCGTTCAGCGGCCGAAAAGCGAGAGCGCGGCCCCGCCCAGAGCGCTACCTCATCGATTTCACTGTAAACGGCTCCCATGATATGCACGGAGAATCATGCGATGGGACTGATGAGGATTCTCTGAGTGGCTAATTTTTTCATGATCGTGAGCTCCGAACGGGGCGTTTGACGTCTCCACCATGTATGGCGCATGTTGAGTAATTTTCATCGGATCGCTGTGAAAAGCTCCTGGTACAGTAGCTCCTGGTACCCTCCAGTGCCTTCAGATATCAACCATGAGCGGCGCATTGATATCCTCCGCGACTGTCTTCTCCTCACACGATCTCCGTTCTCTCCGAGTCAGTAGCGGAGAACGGTGAAACTTTCTAATTGCGGACCTCGAGGCACCGGTGTGGGGACGATTTCTCATCATGGGGATCAAGGCATGTATCATCCGCACCGAATAGACGTTACCCAGCAGCACATCATGAGCGAGTGTGCGACAAATACGGCTGAATTGTAATGAAATTGTCGTGGAAGCTTCGTTGAGGCACACGAGCAGGTTGAGTCGATATCCAGGAATCATACGCCGCGATGGACTAGGAGTTGATCTCTCAGGTACTGAATTGTCTGCTCTCTCTCGAAGCCTACCGAATGGCATCACATCTTGATGAGAGGAAAGAGAAATCCGAAGAGAAATTTCAGCACGGAGAGGTCTTTAGGAGTTGTTTACGATCAGCTGCTCTCCTGTAATCGTAGTAGAGAGAGTAGAAAGTCTGTGCAGTGCGACAGTGTGAGACACAATTATCTGTTCACCAATCGCTCTACACTCGCCGCGAGGAGATTTTCGAGAAGGTCCAAAGGTCTTGACGGTCTTCTTCTAGTGAGTCATCTTTTCTCGGCAACTAAAGAGAATCGTTGAGAGATGTCTCCGCGCCGATGTTGGTTCCTGGAAGACCATGACTCCATTCGAGCGTGATATAGTAGTATAGTCATGGTCAGATCATAGTAGCTGCTGCTGCCTGAAATTCCCTCACGGAAGCGGAATGAGTCTCTGACTCGAAATTATTTTCTTTCAAGGGACGGCAAAGACTCCGAGGAGCTGCGAGAGCCAATGCTGTCTCAACGCATCCTCAGATACTCCACTCAGCTCGGGTGAGGAATTCTTGAGTTCGATGTTAGCACGTACCCGACATGTATCTGTGTTGGAGTTTACTGTTAGCAGCGATCTCTAGGAAGTCCGGTATATCCGATGCGGTTTCGTAGAAGCTGCGCGGCTCCGCTCCTCTGGAGCGCGAAACCTCGAAAACCCGCTCACCCTGATCCCGAGCCCTCCTCGGCGGGAAGGCGATCCACATTATCCTGTGCTCTAGCTTCGACACTCCGTAGACCTCTCAGCTGTGTTTGCCCGACGGTCCTGAATTCCCGAGTGCTCATCGTCGAAGTACTAACATCGTCTATCCGAAGCCGAGGAGAGCGACGGAAGGTTCCCTGGGAAGCGGAAGCTCTTCCGTATCAGTCTCTGTCACGCTCAACCACCAGCATGTCGCCCGAGCGAAGATCGGGGGCTTCTCGGAGCGCTGATCGAATATCATTGGTTTTTTTTCGTGTCGGGCCATGATCCGAGTAGGCGGCGAAAGAGCATTTCTGACCGGAGACGTGGCTCTTCGGAACGGATTGGCTTCATGACGTATCGTCCGTGGGAGACTTCGACCTTAGAGGCCATGATATCTCTCACCGCTGAATTGTCTCACATGTGCTCTGTGCGCTTGTTGTAAACCTTCTTCTTATCATCACTCCTCACAGGCTTTACTACTTGGAAGTTTCGGGACTTTCCATCGAGTCTAGTTCTTTTTCGATAGCTCCGGGGAGATTACCGATGATCGGCGAGCTTCCGATGGTGCCTACGCTCATCGGTCCCTCAACTCTCTAAAATGGATGAGTCTCAGTCACACGACTGTTGTTGGAGGTATTGTTATATGGACTTCTTCTCATCAGGTCATGCGGTCTCGGTAAAAGAGCGCTGTCTGCATTGAATCTCGGACATCGGGTAGAGGAGTTTTCGGTGGAAAACGAACCCATTTACGGCTACTTGGCCGGGAGTGATGAGCGGAAGAAATTGGAGGCCGCCTTGAACAAATGGAGAGATCAGACGACTGATATTCCGATCATCATCGGCGGCGAGGAGTTCAGAACAGAAGACATTCGGACTCATACAGCTCCTTTCGATCACTCCAAGACTGTTGCGAGGTTTTACTGGGCAGACGAGAAGCTCATCCGGGATGCAATCGATAGTAGTCTTAAGATTCGCCGAGATTGGGAGAGTTTCCCGCTCGGCGAAAAAATCAAAATCTTCCTCAAGGCGGCCGATCTCATAGCGAACAAATATCGTTACGACCTCAACGCTGTCACCATGCTAGGTGGGTCCAACTCCGAATATGAGGAAACCCTATCGAGCGTATCAATTCCGATGAACACTGATCGGGTGAATCCATCAAACAGGGCTGGAAAACTTTCCTTGTCCCTCGCCTATTTCTGCTTCTCAAGAGGCTCGCGGAATATTTCAGGTCAAGGCAAAACGGTGTTCCAAGCCGAGATCGACGCTGCCGCCGAGCTCGCCGACTTCCTAAGATTCAATGCGTACTTCTGCAAGGAGCTGGTCAAATATCAGCCAATCAGTCCTGATGCTACGATCACGCTGAACCAGTACAGGCAGCGGGGAATCGAGGTGAAATGTCGCCGGTCGTCAAGTTTATTTCCCCCCCACCCCCCATCCAGATGGGGAGCTCCAAAGCCTGAGACGTCAGAATAGCGAGATTACAGTCGCCCCCTAGAGTCATTCAATGTTCGCTCCGAAAATTCGCCTCAAATGAACTTGCTTCTACTACAGGGATTCTTCACGGCTATCTCACCTTTCAACTTCTCTGCCATCGGCGGCAATTTGGCATCTGCTCCGACTTTGATGGGGAACGTAGTTGTATGGAAACCGTCGGATGCCGCTGTGTTATCCAACTACCTAATATATAAGGTACGTTCCGAGTACCCAGAACTCTACGCTGTGTGAGGCATGGTATCAACTTCCCACAATTGGAAGGGGGGCTCTTTTAGGAAGACCGAGATGCTCAAATAATTATCCTGTGGATCCCCGTAGATCTTCTTGGAGGCTGGATTTCCTGCTGGAGTGATCAACTTCGTCCCATCAGAAGGAAGAACTTTCGGGGACGTCACGAGTAGACATCCCGATTTGGCGGGAGTCAACTTCACGGGTACTCATGCGCATCGGAGGCGTCTCTCGGGGGAATATTCGATGTGCTGTACATAAGCCCGCAGAGCCTCAGGGTCTTGATCTCTTTCGGAAAATTTTCAGGCTCTGTTGGAACATTCAGAACGATATGGAAGCAGATCGCTTCGAACCTCGATGGCATGAGGAGTTTTCCTCGACTCCTCGGCGAATGCGGAGGGAAGAATTTCCACTTCGTACATCAGTCGGCGGACATCGATTCCGTGGTCGCACAGACTACCCGGTCCGCTTTTGAGTACAGCGGTCAGAAGTGCAGTGCATGCGAACGTCTGTACGTGCCAGATTCGATTTGGCCCAAGATCAAAGAAGGTGAGGCCCCATAGAGCTCTAACGGTGCGCTTTAATCGAAGCGCGTAACTGCGAGACTTCGCAAAGACGCGCCTTGACCCTAAGATTTTCCACGCTCAGGCCTGATAGAAGCCCAGAAGCGACTGAAAGTCGGATCTCCCTTGGACTTCTCCACTTTCACTTCGGCTGTAATCGATGGACAAGCCTACGCGAAAATCTCGAGCTATTTGGACTACGCAAAGTCAAAGCATTCATTGCTCGCTGGAGGCGGCGTCGACTCGACGCGCGGCTGGTACATCGATCCCACCATCGTTCAAGTCCACGATCCAGATGACCGGTGATTATTGTGGTGTGATATTTCTATGATGAGTCATTCAAGACCGAGTCAGGGAAGGATCGAGACGAGATTTCGCGTTACAGACTCATGAAGGAAGAAATTTTCGGCCCGGTTTTGAGCGTCTACGTGTACGATGCGAAAGACTGTCGACATGCCATGCAGAAAGCGCTCCACACAGCTCCTTTCGGGCTGACCGCCGCCATATTCGGGAAGGACCCTGGTTGGCTTGAGAAAGCCACTGAGTACCTTAAGCAAGCGGGTGGTAATTTTTACATTAACGACAAATCTACCGGCGCTGTGGTCGGGCAGCAGCCCTTCGGTGGTTCTCGGATCTCGGGTAAGCTTCGAGAAGAGACTCTGACAGTGGAATTTGTATTGAAATACAGCTCTCTTTCGAGTGAGCCCCAAACAGAAAACTTCTCAAAAATCTCTGTTTCTCTCCACCCATCTTGCAGGGACGAATGATAAGCCTGGGGGTCCGCACTATCTCCTCCGGTTCAGCTCACCGCAGACTGTCAAGCAAACACTGGTCCCGCTGACCGAAATCGATTATCCGTACATGAGACCTTAGGAATGACTGGTTCCAGAGACGAATCCATCTTGTTATTGTGTCACTAGATCCGCGTCTCGACACTACTGGCTCTGTTGTTCTCGGTGAGAATGGTCACCAACTATCAGGCTCGATCCGACTGAGATCGCTCGAGGTTTTCGTGGAGCCAAGTTATTCAATTATATCGAAGTTCGCAACTTTTTATGGAATGCCTGATGGTGACGAGACCACCAACTTTATGTGATTGTGCGATGGCTACGGAGAGAATGGGGCGAGGGATCTCTTAGTTCGAGATCACTCTCTCGAGGACGAAACCCCTTCCGCGCTGATCGGAGGGCCCGATGAGTAGAATGTTCCGATCAGACGAGTTTTCATTGATGGAATCTTGGTTCGCTCTCTAGAGCAGTGGTTCTAAAACTTTTTCTGCCACGGAACCCCTAGGGCCTAAGGGTTCCGTAGGGGTTCCGCAGGTAGACTCTGGGGTTCCGCGCAATCCGCCACGGAACCCCACGGGATCCGCGGAACCCAGCTAGAGAAACACTGCTCTAGAGTTTCTCCGACTTTTCCTGAGACGACGGGGCGTGCTGATTTGTCTATCGGACCTTTATATGAGCAGTCAAATGATGCTGCATCGAGCTGAATAAATACATGCCCCGAGAGCTGGAGTCTGTCATCGATCTGCTTAGTCCAAGTTTCGAAATTTCCGCCAAGGAACAACGGACTCGAACAAGCCTCAAAAGCAGTGACGGATTGACAAATTACAGACAGTATAACCCATCTGGGAAGGAGTTCTGTTTCTCTTCGGCGCTTGCCCCAGGATCTGCAAGACTTCTCCCCTGTCCCACAAAAAGCCTAAGGGACGGAAATAGGCGGAAATTGTCACTACGCTCCCGTTCGACCTTGCATGGACAGAAAGAACAGTCTGTCGTTCAAGGTATTTGATCGGGTTTCGGTTTCATCTCAGAGATTTTTCGAGGAATCAGAGCTCGAGGTCTGTTTTCGAGACGGCTCCGCGCTCCTGTGAAGAGTTGACGGCTTTCTTTCAGTCGAGAATAATCTCTTTGAGCTGCCGGGACAAACCGATGCCCCGACCCGAAATTCGCCGCTCCCCAAAATCTGCTGCCCTAGGCCCTAACATGCCTACCAGCTGATATCGCCGCTGCTCAAGAGGATGCATCCACCGTGTCGCGTCCAGGTTCTCGCGGCCCCTTGCCATGCGGATTTCTAAGTTCCGCCAGCTAACAGTCCATTCATCTTCCTCTGAGGTTTTACTTGATTCGGATGCTCGGAAACCGTCGCGTAAGTTTATCATCTGCCCCGTCTTGGAGCGATTGCTCCCGCGAACAGAAATAGACGAATGATTTCATATGACGCCTCCTCTGCTCATTCCCAACCCCGGGGTCAATGCTCCTCTATGCGATTCAACGTTTCAAGTCGGGGTAACTTCAAGCCCCCTGAGCTCGTTATATATTAATTCAAAAGATCCAAGCTTCCTATCAGCGGGTGAGGGGGGGGGGTTCCCGGGATCGCTCACCAAATCTATGCCCGTAGATGGCTCGAGGATATGGACAGAAAAAAAGGAGAGGTTCCAGCTTCCCAGGTCCCGGAAGCGCATCGTAGAGATGCGATACCGCCTCGATAAAGATCCCGGCGGGGAAGCCCGGGGATCGAGTCAGTCACAACTATCGACGTTGTCGCTGAGCCCCGTCCTTATTTGAGCGAGCAAACAGACTTGCATCATTCAACGCCCAGCAGGGAGGAAAGAGCGATCACCGCTCGATCGACTGATGTCGATGTGTTCGAAACGGACAATGTCCGAGAGAACCAAAAATCTTTCGAGGTAGGGCAAGTCTGCATTGGCCGTCTCATTAGGAATGGACTGCCGTTTTTGCGGATACGACAATCAAAACTTTTCGAATGTACATACTATGCTCCATAATTCACTTCTCTCACCAAAAAGCGCAGTCCATCGTAACGAGGTCAGGACCGGGGTTACCGAAGCTCCTTGAAGTCACGTTTACCTCCCTCAGCTCCTAATGACTCGAGTCTCGAGCTCGATTTGCACAGAATGTGAACTCTGTCCTCGATGGGGGACCGTATTGCTACGTCTGCGAGCCGCTGAAAATTGTTCGTGGTCCGCTTCCCCGACCACCGATCCACCGACCAACCGTCGGGATTCGGCTCAAGTCGTGGATGCCGTGAATAATCGTCGATGACCGGTGACATTCATACAGGAAACGCCCCTATTTTTCGGATCGAGGGGTCGATCCACCCAGCACAAAGGAAGCCGGGTCTCTCACTGTTGCAAGCGGTACTCTGCTGGAGGAATCGACCACGCTGATCGAGCCCTCGAAGGATTCGATAATACCGTGATCCCGATAAACTATTCTCCTTCCGCATGGCAGCCAAAAGCTCTCCGATTTTGTCCTTCCGGGAGTTTTTTATTTTCTCCCGGCACGAATCGTTGCGGATGCCGATTCCGCGTCACCATGTATCGTAAAGGAGAGTGGCACGTATTGTCAGATTGTCTGCGTCGATGTGCCTTCACAAGTAGCTCCCGTAGATCTGTCCGTCTGCGGCACCTCGCTCGCAGCACAGAGATATATCGCTGGTTTCGTCGCGAGGCGTCGGGATGCAGTGCGGCTCCGCGCCAACGAGCTGTGAAGAGCCATGCGGATTGGGTTTCTCCCGTCTCGGATGCGTTCTTCGGACAGCTACCTATTTCGTTCCGGACGGTGATCAGTGACCTCGGAGCATCCCGGGAAGTTCATGCAGTCTTGTCCGCGAGCTACAGTTTGGCTTCAATCGTGTCTCCACTCGATCCGCTGAACCGCCCGCCTCAAAGGATTCGGTGTCAGAAACCCTCGCGATAGAGTCTGTGGCGTAACGTGCCTCTGTGATGCGCGGCGCAGATTCGCCGAACTCTGAGCCCGAACCTCGACTTGATGTCCTTCCAGAATTTTTGAGCATTCCTCGAATCTAGTAGTGCTGCGCAAATTTTCGCCGTGATTATGATTTTACCGTAATCATACGCATGCATATGACTATGATCATAATCATACGCACTCGTAAGATTACGGCCATAATCATACGCATGTCTGTAATTATAATCATAATCACACGTATGATTATGATTGTAATCATACGAATGCGTGTGATTACGGTGATTTCTGTGATTATGACTATGATTATAATCATATTCACACGTGTGATTGTGATTACGGTCATAGTCGTACCCAAGCGTATGATTACGGTCATATTCATGCTCAAGCGTATGATTACGGTCATAATCATAATTATAATCGCGGCGAAAATTTGCCCGACACTGGAATCTAGCATGAATCATTCCACGGTCTGCTTACCGATAGAAGTAGAAATGAATCCCTCTCCTAAAAGCAGGAAATCTGTTGAAAAATTCGCCTCCAGAGCCCTGGTCCGAGATGGATCGCCCGCCGTTTTGCTATGCCTCTCGACACTGTCGATAAGGAGTTCCTCATCCCGCGGCTCACGCAATTAAGCGTAAACATCATGCTCTTCTTTGACGGACAACGTACAAACTTTATTGTTCTCAAATCGACCTCGATCTATCCGTCGGGGCGACGAGTAATTTCCCCGCGCTTCTCGAAGGGATCGTCGACGTTTACTTCTATTGGGGTCGCATGATGCTGCTTATCTGGAAGACTTGTCGGACCTCACATCAGAGCGTGCTTCGCGCCAGGATTCAGCACTTGAGCTCCTTCCCGGACGTCGAATAGAGAGATTCCCTTGATTGTGGCGACGACCTATGACTCATCGGAGATTGCCGGCATTGTTCCACACGGTCGCATTCGCTAGCTCGATCCGGAATCGGGGGCAAAACCTCAATGCTCATTCCCGGGATGTGAGACCTCGCCCGTGCGGTCAAAACTGGAAAACATCATCGGCTTTGGCCGGAGAGCTGCCCCATCAAACTATAGGCTCCGGAGGCAGCGAGCGTGGGGAGTATCGTCCTGTTCTGCTTGCTCTCTAGCGCTCATCGCTGACCATCAGTGGTCGACCTGTGGTCGGAGGTAGCGCTCAAAACATCCTTTCCAACGGAATGAGCTAATCCATGGGACAAATCCGTATTTTGAATATAATGCATATGCGAGAGAAGTATCACACTATACATACTTCAAGCTATTCGGGGATTCACAGAGGGGCGTACATAGCAGGAGATCAATCTATAATAACTCGACCACAATATCATGTAGGATATGTATGATTTCACTCATCAGTAGAGGAACAACGTCGGTCTCGGATTTCGCAGAACAATCATTGTTATGCCATCTCCCTCCGCTCGATCATATCAGTTCCATATATATAATATATTTTGTATATATATATATGTATAATCCTAATCATCCCTGCGATCAACAAGCTCATGTATCAAGCGGAGTGTATACCTATTTCACAAGCCCGATTTTCCAACGGACCACCGCAGCTACCGTATCGAGATGTTTATAGTGTTTCTTCACCATAAAATCCATAGATACCGGCTCCCCGATCGTTCTTCCTCCGCAATCGTCTCCTTTTTGGTAAGAGATTCTCGGCTAAGGCGAATGACAGCTGCCTGGTTCCTGCTCGGTTTCGCGTGTGAGGACTCCGAGGCTAAGGCAGGTGTCCGTCCCGGGCAGACTCCTCCATCTTCGAGACTTTCCTCACAAGGATCCTATCCTGGCTAGTTCCGATGCACTACGCAATATTCGTTCCATAATTTCAAATCACTGAAGTACACTCCCTTTGAGTGATCTTGCTCTCCTGAGACGGGTCGTTTTCTTCCAAGGTTGGTATCTTTCCGAACGCTTACGTTCGCAGCTCGTCACGCTCGCAGCGCGCGATCCACGATCGTAGCATGAGTCTGCGGTGGAATTTCTCGGCTAAACAATTCTCGGGGGCATTTTACAGACTCGGTTTGTGCGATAGAGGAGCAACCCTCCAGCTTCCCCTTTACCTACGGATCCTTCGTCCAAAAGAAGGCGGATGTGAGACTCAGATATGTGAGGGTTGTGGCACCGAGTTGAGCTTGAACGGAAGATTTACGTATTCCGGGTCTCCGGCTGCTCGGGGAAGCTAATGGTCGGAGTAGATCTTGCCACAGAGAGAGAATGAGTTCCCGAAGAGTGACACGTGAACGCCGGACTGGGGTCCCTTCTTCATTCCATATGAGTTCAGCTACGATGAACTGGAAGGGGACAGAAAGAACTCAGCAGCTGTTGCTTGGTACTACGATATGACGGAGTACAGCTCCTCAAGTTCCTGTACTCTCAAACGATTTCCATTCTCTCTCCAAAGGATAATCCACAACAGAAGTCGGAAATTGACGTCATCCCGAGGCAGTGCAGCGCGCCGTATCCAGGACGCGGCGCGCGGCGCCTATGGGTCTATGGGACTTGAGTCTAAGGGACTCGCAATGCTCGGCGCGGCGCACAGCTCTGACCCGAGGCTACCGATTGACTGGAAGGTCCAGTTTCGTCTTCCAAGCTGATCTCTGACGTGAATAATTTCTAGATAGATCCTCGGATAGATGCGCTCCGGTCAGAGCTCTCTAAACTTTGATGGAGTCTCGTCAACGAGAATATTTGTGGTTCCACGCTCTCGCAAAGCTGATGGAACCGTCGCAAGAGGCGAACCACCTATGTTTGACATGGCTCATTGGATTCTTCCATGGCCGGCACTGCCCGTCGAATAAGACTGTTTGAGGAAGTTCTTTCCCGATCAAGATCGAGAGCTCATCGCGTGGATGGGGACATACGCCGGAGGAAATTGACCAGAAATCCGCTGGGGAAGAAACCGAGAATAGAGTTTCCGAGGAGGACATGAGAGCTCGGTATCGAGGGGATTCCGCCCGTGGAGAGATTCGTCGGTTCGATGATCCTACAGCGTACTTCGTCTCCCTACTATGCAATAACTCGGAAATAATTCCACTGAGTAGCGAAGTGCATCAAAAATCGCAATTTCCTCGAACACTAGAACCGAGAGCTAAGACAAGCTGCTGCAGCTCGAAGACAAGCAAGCTGTTCATCCACTTCAGAGCCTCGATCAGCAGAATCCCCAAGCAAGACTCTGGAACTCTGCGAATCGCTTCCCCTCTGCGCGCTCCCGAACGTTAGCTATTTCATTCGAGAGACCAGTTCCTTCGGAAATTAATCCGAAATTGAGTTTGACTGTTTGCCTGAGTTATTAATTCGACTGGAGCAAAAAGGGAGGGGAATATGCAAGGAGCTCGAGGCTCGCAGCTGCTTTGTAAGATTCGCATTCAGATTCGTGACCATTCTATGCATTCGCGTCGGATGAGCAGAAGCGTTATGGGGAGTCGTTGTGCGAACGCTTCTGGTGATCTCCGGAACGAAATCATGGAAAGATATCATATCCGACTTGGGCATCCCTTACCCGACGGCAAGCTGCGTCGGAACAGTGTCCTTATCTTTGAACTATTCCCCGGTGCATTACGCTGAAAAACAGTAAACTCTCAGCCAAGCTTTCAAGAAGAACTCGTCTGGGAGAAGCTCGACCGATGACGACAGGGACAGATTCGCGCTGCTCCTCCGCTGGATATCAACCGGGTGAAGGCGAATTCATTACTACATGTGCGGAAACCCGCATAGCGATTCTCCTCAAGAAAATCGACTGATAGAACGGAGGAACGCGATTGCATTTCCCACCGCAACGACGGAAAGCGAGGGTTCTCCCTTCACAATCCAAAGGCAACGAAAGTAGACAAACAAATATACGAGCAAACAAACGGAATCTCACCTTTCTTCGGAGGGCACTGCGGATTCTCTCGACAGCGGCGTCGTTGAACCAGTTTTGTGGGGCATGGTTTCCCTCCGTTCATGGGATGCGTCTTAATTCTCCGTCTGCGCTCTCGTCGACCGTAACCGCACGTCTGCATTCGAGAATGATTTCTCAGAATCGAGAGAGTTTTCGATGTATAGTGTCTCCACCCGGGGAGATTCCCTTTCCAGTGAAAATCGAATGAACCCCGTCTGCATTGATTCATCGTGTTCTGAGCAGGGGCACTCGCGACTCGCGACTATTATTATCGGGGTCGCCCGGATATCCCTGCCCGTCGAGCTTAGCCATCGTCGAATACGGATCGCGACAGAGGTACGTGACGACATGTTATGCCCGAGTCCCACACGACCGACCGTACAAGGAAGGCAACTTCCGTAACCTACCTTAGTGCATTCTCCCCACTCAGACCAACGCAGAACCGCGCAGTCGACGACTTCTTCGACCACAGTCACAGTCATAGGTGGGTAGAAAGTAGCTTCTTCGGAAAGCACATCATCATCTGTTGTTGTCATCACCGGGAATGTCGTGGGGGACGCGATCGACGGAACTGCTGGAAGACACACAAATCAGTTTTCTTCGCTCACTTGAGTCGGAACCCTATTTGCATGTGCTGACTTGATTAGCAGAGTCAGCCAAGCAAGGACGGGTCGGATTGATGTCTTCGACAATCCTTCTCTCGCTGGCTAATGCAGGAAGAGCCACTCAAGTTTTACGAAGCTTGTTCCTCTCGGAGTTGGGAGATCGAGTGTTTTCAGAGGGCAACCCGGATCCCGCATTCCTCCTCCCCATGACTTACGTTCCAATGAGCGGCCACACGTTTTCTTGCACTCGGAGAACGTTCGGAACCGATTCTTGTTCCCCCGGCAGCCGCCGTGCATGAATTTCATGCATTTCCCTAATTGCACGTCGTAGTAGAAATAATGAAAGGTTCCCCGGCAGGGTCCAGGATCTTTCGGCAGGAAGCAGATCTCTGCGCGGAGAGAACAAGGGAAAACTGAAGGAACCCTTCACTTCACGACATCCCCGCGTCAGCGACGGAGAGCCAGATCGGTGGAAGAGCCGGATTTAAATGGGAACAAATAAGAGAGATGCCAATCCTAGACTCACCTTGCGCCCTACGCTCCTCGTCGGCACACTCCACCTGCGCGAAATTCTCGGGGTGTTAAGGAAGCATGTGTGGACGATTCACGGGACAATCATTATTATTATTATGATAAAAGAAAAATAGAAAATGAGCTCCGCTTGATCTACCCCAGGGGCTCCCTAATATATCTGAGCTCAAATCACCTTCTCCGAGCGGCATATCGTTTTCTGAAGTTGACCGACGCTGCACCGCGAGATGACAGCCAGCTTCGGGTTTAGGTAAGCTCTGGTCCGCACACGAAATCCTTCTCCACACGATGCCGTGCACGGAGAATAGTCGGTCCATTGGGTGACTGCGCAGTTCGGCTCGATCTTCAAGAACAGGAGCTCGGTCTGACTTCGGAACGTTGTTCGGTCCATGCTCTCCCAGCTTGAACATATTCTCATGCCGCAAGATCGCTACTCACATTCTCTGGCGCGCAATGAGCGACGGGGGCTTCGCATTGCTCCTTCTCCATCAGTTCGACCGAGCAGACTTTGCGGGCTATGTGGTGCTTGTATTTTCGACGCCGGGTTCTCACACCCTTGCCGCAGGTTACGCCGCATTCTGCCCACTCCGACCAAGGAGTCGTTTCGCAGGACACCCCATTAGGGATGACGCTGCGGTCAACTTTTGGTTCCCTGGAATTCAACCGACTTCTTTGTCTTCGAACCTTCAATTCTCCTGGATGCTCCATCGAGAGTACGGCCCGACGGGAGCAGAGGAATGCCGGCCGGGGCACGCGTGGCGGGAGCTTGGGGAGCCGGCTCCCACTCCGAGGCGGACACACTTTACCGGCGCGTCGCCGGAATGGAGAATCGAGTCCCTCAGCCGTGCTCATTCCCCTATTTGGAGCCGAGGACATTTTGCTTCTCTCGGACTCCGGCGACTCCACACTATAGGTCTTCTCTTCCCCGTCCGGAATGAATCCCCGGACCCACGGACGCATTGTTCCGTACTAAATCGTGGGAAAGCAACCAGCCGTCCGCGGAACGAGGAGGGGTTCTTTCTCGTTCCCGCTCGCGCCCATCGACTACGAGCTTTTCTTCTCCAAACGGCTCCAACGGCGGTACTTGTAGCAGCCAGGGCAGCATAGCTAGGAGCACTGACAGTCAGTCAAGACTGGTAGCCGCACGAGAAAGAAGCGGGGAGATTACGGACGAAGGCGTAGGGATCGGGAAGAACACGGGCACCGACTCTAAAAATCTTCTACAGCTCCGCGCTCCAGCCGGAGATCTGTCCATCTATCCGTCAGAGCCTAACTTTACATTTTCCGTCTACAGAACGACACAAACCCTCTATCTCACGCAGCTCATCCCGTATATCAGCGGCACTCGCAATGCCGCACTGTCGCCTACCTCCTCCCACCGCTACTCTCCGCACTCCATCGAATGCAGCGACTTCAGTTAGGCGCCTCGCGAACGTTCTGGAACCGGGAATCGAGCTTCGGAGCTCAACGGAGCTCTGTCCCGAGAATTCGCAAGTTTCTCGTCCACGAGCTGAACGCTGCCCGATTTAAGATCAGCGTATCGTCTAGGCCCAGAGAATATCCTCTGGTCTTCGTCCTTGCTTGCCTGCCACCGATCCATTCGCCGAGAGCCTCATTTGTCATGAGGAGACGGCGAGCACCGGATCTCATCCAGTTGTGATTCCAGGCTCCGCTCGCCCCATCTCACATGAATGAATATCTGCTGAATGACTCCCCGATCGTCACAAACAATCATTGGGAGCTGCTCCAAACTATAACCCGAATCCTAGCCGTTCCTTCTCGGTTACTCACATGCTCGCACATTCGTGCTCACAAGTGCTGCTGTCGAAGATTTGGGCGCGGCATCCCGCGATCAGAGCAACATCTCGGTGAATATAGGCTCGTGTCCGAATTTTCAGTCCTGTGCCGCATGACACGCTACAGGGCCCGAAGTTGCTCCATTCTCCGACTGCGCATTCATCGCCGCCGTTCGAATTGCCCGTCTCCACCACAGAGATTGATTCTGGAAGAAGAATAAATGAGTCACTCGTCGACGAGGAACTGCGCTGTCACTGCGAACAATGGGAAACCGGACTACTCAATTCACCTTCTTGTGTGACTGTGGCAGGGGTCTTCTCCTCAGTCACGGCTTGTTCCGCGTCCTCTAATTCGCAGGCCACCTAGGGGATATCCAAAGTTAACAGGGGAACGTAGAAGGAGTCGGGCGATCCTTTTTTTCGATCCGTGAGTTTTCGAGATCGGGAATGAGAGCCAGTAACCGACCTTCTCGTACAGTCGCTGACGAGTTATCGTTAACTTCGCCACAGGCTTCATCGGCGTCCCGGTTGGGTCATAAAATGGTGAGTCCAAATGATTCGGGAAGGATGAGGTTATTCTCCGGATGCGTTGTTGCGGGACTGATGGCGATCGCTGCTCCTGAGTATCAGAAACGATTTTCATGTCAGGCTTCCGCGCAATCCGCAGGTGCTAAGGGTATGCTGAGACAACTATCCCGGAGAACGACCTTCCTCCGTGGATCAAAATCCCGTTGTCGATCGCATGCCCCGTCAAGATCGGCTCCTTCCGGATAACTACATACATACAATGCCGCTCTTTCAGACAAATGTTTCGATCAGAACTTTCCTCGCTTCCGAGCTCCGAAGATCAGAAAAAAAATTGGAGGACCTCAAGCACGAATTCGAGACGTGGAGGTTGGACTGAGTGTAGGATTTCAAGCAACTTCTGCGACATGAGACTGACTCAGTTGCTTCGTAACAAAGCAATGGGGAGCCAGTTCGACTTTCTCCCTGGGGAATCAGTCTCTCTTCCCGACCGTGCTCCGCGAGGCTTTGTCTAAGAGCTAATCTTCAGGAGCTCGTTCGTTTCATCAAGCTTCTGGACGCAAAAGTTCGCCCCTGAAGTCTCCGTCCTTTTCTCTCTTCGGCTGGACATGAAAGGGAATGGCAGACGAGGAGAATCCGCGTCGCCGGTCAGCGAGACGCATGCACTGTGAATCAGATTCTACTTACATCTACGTATCGGACCCCTTCGCTGGTGCCCGCATCCCACGGATAAAGATTCATGGTTTTCGAAGCGAGCCATGAGCAGTTCTTCAAGCAGAGCTCCAGGGAACTGACCCCCACGAGCCAGTCGGGTGATGGGCCGAGCATGGACAAGACCGATATAACGTGGTGCTTCCGGTCCACACGGAAAACAGCGAAAGTTTTCCCGTTGACATTCGGGTACCACAGACCGCGAGCTTTGATGATCGTTCGAATTTTACCGGACTGGAAACATAGAGTATCGTTTCCTGACAAGAAGTCGAGTCCAAAACAGAAGAGTCTTACAGTCTCGATCTCCTCCCCAGAGACATGCAAGACGACATTTCGTTTCCATGCTTACTTTTGCCTTGAGTTCAGCCTCGAGTTTTTTTGTCGCCCCGTGCTCTGCGACGCTCTTGACACCTTCCGAAGCGAATCCTTCATATTCCCACATTTTGAAGTCAGCGGCGTGTGACGCTCCGATGATATCCGAGAAATGGGTCAGCCATTCGTCTGAATTCAGGCGAACATAGCGGTTAGATTATACGAGAAGGCTCCGAACTTAAAAGGTGACATATCATGACGGGAAAACTTACTATCAGGGTAACCCTTGGGATGTGTATAGCGCGACCAAAGACCCTCGAAGGTCATTTCGTACTTGGCTTCGTCGCAGGCGCAACATTCATCAAGGAGCGGTGGCTGTTCATCCTCGTTGTCCTGTTCCTCAGGACACAGTTCCCTCGTGAGGTCACCGTCATCCATAAACCACCTCTCGGCGGTTTCTACCACAAAAGCTCTGCGGAGTGAGTTTTTTAAATGAAGAGTGTGTTTGCGGCCTCAATCAAAGTTTCGTTGTCCGTCATTCTCTCACTGACGGCGTCGATTCTTCGGATCACGGAGTCGCGATTCGCGATCGGCGCTCAGTGTCACGCTCAGTCAACCGGTCGTGGGACTTCCGCGGATGATTCGCTCAGAAAAAGCGCATGGATTCCACAAATATTCGGAAGGCCCCGCGGCGTACCAGCGCATTCGTGGGTTCGAACACCCCCCTCATCATCGATGCCGCTTAAGATAAGCCATCTCAATTGCCCGTGAGTTCTGGCTTTTTCGAATTTTCCAAGGACATGCATGCATTCATGCCCTGGGAAATTCGGGGTCATGCACGAAAAGGATAATTGAAACATGCACTTGATGGAGGAGCGGATCTCAAATCTGCCGACGAGCTCCCTTCGGAACCTATGCGACAATCCGCATGCATGTGGGGGGGGGGGGGAAGTTTTCCTCACTCAATCCAGATTATGCATTGACGAATACAAAAACGATGCTGAGCACACTTTCGACTTCTTGAGAAGAAGAGCCCTCCGCTGACGGTGTTCGCTCAACAAGAGCTTCGAAACTCGAAATAGAAAATCGTCGTTCAATATCGACGGACATCATCAGTGCGTATTTGTATTGGGCCACCTCCGGGAGTCCCGTCTCGCCTAATGAGTCCATCTTCTGTCGCCTACACAGCGTGAGTCGAAGCTGTCCTCCAAAATGCCGAAGCCCCGGCTGGGGAGCGCGTCGCGTTTCGGCGAAGCGACTGAGTCATCTGGTGATTCTCTGTGAGACCTTACAGAATTGGCCCAAAGACAGCCATTCTGACGATCACATGGCTCCCGTTCGGAGTTGGCTTCGATGAGTGCTCGACTTTCTGCCCTTATCTCTTCTGAAGTTTGAGACTTTCGCCGTCTCACTGACGTCTAACTTCCGAGTTCGAATCAAAGTGCTCAACGTAAGGAAGAACAGCGTCCATACAAGTCCTCCATATTGTTAGATGAGAACTTCAAGAAGACGAGCTCCCGGATGGCTTTCATCTGACTCCAACTTCTACCATTTGCGCCTCGGTCATGGCCGCATTCCGCTGTTGCTGCATATCAATTAGAGAAGTCGTCACGGGAAGGACACAATAAGCGAGGTCCGCACTCCGAATCATAAATTTTCGACGAAATACCTGAAATAAGTCTCAACACGCATCGCATACGCGTTTTCCATGAAGTCACGGTCACGGCTTATCACTCATCACATATCTCGACAAGGCAAGCAAATATAGAGAGGAAACTGCCAGCGCCACGTCGCTGCTCGACAGAGAAAATCTTCCGGGTCTCGATCCGTACAGAAGGCTTGTTGCTTTTCAGAGAATGCTTCCGGGTTCGACAGCGAGGGTTCTGAACAGACTTCCGACCCTCAGGGGAGACTTCCTGGAGGTCGCGAAAGCCCTGGCAGTGGGCGAGATCACGAGTGCACTCAGGGGTTAATATAGTGATTAGGAAGCTCCGACTACCGTCACTGTGTACCTTGCCGGTGGAATGGAACGCCATCACAGACAACGCACAAGGAGAGAAGGATCGTTTCAATAGACGCAGGCGCCGGCGGGGAGCTTTCGCGTTTTTCGCAGAACCCTTCCATCCTACGACGACAAACAGCGATTTATTCAGGCGGGCTGAAGGATAGATGGATCGTCGAACGCGCAGGTAAACTATTTTGTGGAATGAAAGAGCGCCCGCGCATGGATGTTTGCCCATAATATCCGTTGCCAGTATACATACTCGTGCTCACATGCGCCACCATAGGCCGACCCATACTTCGACGAAGCGGCGGCAAGGCCTCGGGCTTCTTGCATTCCTCGCTCGCGGACCAGGAGAAGATTCTCGGGTTTGAGCGCAACATAGTTTCCGGCCGCCTGGCGGGCGGTGCATCGTCCCGGTGAATCCAATAATTGACGAGGTTACGGCTCGTGGACGGTAGGCGTCCTATAGGCGTCTCAAGTCACGCTCGAGCTTGCTGCCGGGGAGACGAATGGGCGAACGAAAGAACTTATCTATCGTACAAGTGACCTACTGACCGGTCGCCATCTAAGCGCTGCTCGGTCGCTTCCCTGGAACTGATGGTTTCTCATTTCCTCGGAAAACATCGCGGTCATTCGGTTGCGGTCTTCTGTTCCCCATCCACACGTGTAGGCGTATGTCGAACCGCAGCGCCCTTTCCCCAGACCTCCAACACCGCACTCCAACAGACGCGTCAACTTGCGAGTAGGGGAAAGTCTCCGCCACCAGAAATCTCGCGGATGTGACGACTGACTGAGTGGGCGCTGCATGCACCTACACTGTAGATCTTGCTGTATTGACCGAGAGGAAAGATCGAGGCAATAATACTCATGGTCCCCTAAATCCCCACTTCTTGTCGACGGAAGTCCCTTGGTGCCTTGAACTTGTCGACTGCGTGCGGGGTCCCAGCGGTAGGAATATCCGAACAAGAACATGCGAGGGCGTGCTTGAAGCAGAATCGCCGCAGTCGAAGCGTGAACTCACTTGAAAATTACGCAGCCAGCTCCAGCTGGTGGTGCTGTCCACAGAACCGTCACTTCGGCTTTCGAAACGGAAGACGCCTGCATCACAGCTTGAGGACATTCTTCAGAGAATTTTGAAAGCGCATCGCCGAATAACTGGAACGAGGACATTATACATGTCTTATAACAATAAGAAATCCGTACCGCATTACCGGTCCACATCCGCGTCTCAAGAGAGCGCCAGGGTGATCTCATACCGTGACCCCAACTACAATGCGAAGGATAATCCAGTCGAATAATTGCCCGCCATCATACGAATTCGATGTGCACACCCGCCGTACTACAAGAACAATCGGTCAGATGTTCCGTTCTAAATGCTAATCGAGGAAGGTTTCTCGCAGTCGCGAAGCTCTCTCGGCCCTCAGGTGTGTTGTCCCGTCGTTGTTTCAGCGCAGAGATTGGATCAGACCGCAATGTCGCCCGAGTCGCTGCCTCACAACAATATCCATGCCAGCATACCGTCGGAATGCATTCTGACCCGCGATCGGGAGGCGATGTGGATGGAGACGAGTCCTGTTCCGACCTCCCCGATAGCGGTGGTCAGGGCTCATCGGAAGCTCTGTGAGAATCCGTCGTTCATCGCTCTGAATGATTGTGAACAAAATCAAAAGATGTGCCTTCGTGAAAGGAGCAGAGCTGGGTGGAGCCCGAGCAGCGAGCTCTGAGTTCACCGAGTAGAGCCGGGCTAAGCGCACGAAATCCCGCGAGATGACAGACTCGGCTCACGGACGTATTCTACATCCGTTCGCCTTATAACCTATGCGCCAAGACTCCAAGGCTTCGCTGGAGCTCGGCTCTGCCGGCCGTCTGTTTCATCCTAATCGAGCGTTGATGAACAATCCCAAGTCCAGACTCCCGAAACTTTGGTCGAGATCCGAAGGCAGTATAACGTCGGATAGCCGAAATCAGAAACTACCGGGCAAGCCTGCTAGAATCGTGTCTCAAAGTCTTGCAGAGGCCGCTTCCGATTCCGATTCTTCCATGTTCAAAAAGCTTCAAGAGCTGTGCAATAAATTGTTGTGGTTCCCCTTCCCCCTCCCCTAGCAGACGAAGTCAGAAAATTCTGATGATTCTCGGGATCGAGTCCACGATTCTGAAAATTCGTTTTTCCAAAACGCGGCATGCGTGGAACGCTCGAATTCCATAGGTGGAATGGGGAGCTTTCTTCACTTTGTGCTGACGGACGAGGATATCCCCGGGAGAGGCGCAGTACGTCACAATACGGGCTCTACTCCACGAGGAGTTTCTGTGGGTATAGCTTAGAGCTCTTCCGGACGTGGTCTGAATGATGAAGGGGTTCGACAAATCAACTTGATTTTGTTTCAACGCTGTCAGGACCCGAATGAAATGGCCTCCGGTCCTATTCCCTCATCGAGACTCACGATGGTAGAAGGGGAAAACAAACAAAATTCCTCGTTCCACGTCGGAAGTATCGTCGCAAACTGCTACGGATCCCCCTACAGCGGCATTTTCTTTCGCCGATGGATAAACGATCAGGAGATTACTTGTAGTCTGGTTCAGCCACCGGTGGCGATTGCCTCTCCCGAATGTTCCCGACACGAGAGGCTCCCCGGTCTTCGCACGCTTGATTACGCCCGAAGCCCTACGAACGCCTAAATCATTAGCGCCGTCTCCCTACTCATCTGACTCGACTATTATCGATAAGTCACGGATACCCCGACGTAGCGCCCGTTACAACAACAAAATGTACCTCGGTACAGGATCCTATGCGCGGGTTCATATCGCACGACCATTCCGTGTCAATTGTCCCCAGCTCCGATCGTTCTTGTGAATTTTTCTGACAAAGGAATCGTTCCTAGAGGTCGATTTTTCTTTCGCGGTCAGGCAAGGCTGTTCTGCGAGAGCTCTAGACCCGGTGTGAGACTCAATCGAGCGTTGACGCTCTCTTGGCGCATCAGGAATCACTTGCTCAGTTCTCGCTCACGGGCAATCAGAGCCAGGGTCAGACTGGCCATATGTCAAGCACAGCACGCTTGAAGGAGTCATATACGGAGGGACATATACTGCGGAGAAAAAGATGGAGAACTGTGCCATTCAGCGAGGGAGCGAGCGAGCGACGATGAAGCTGACGACGAGCAATAACGTGGTGAGAACGCGACGCTGGCGGGCAGTGAGATGAAATCGTGCGCGAATATGAGCGAACCACTGCTGAGTTTTTTGTTGCGCTTGCCTCATGATACTCTATGCCGCCCTGACGTTTCTTACGTATGGTTAGGCTGCGAAAGCAGCAGGGACGAGAGTGAAAAATGACGGAGTGGATGTGATTTGGAGAGGACGCATGTATGTATGTATGTACGTGCCCATATGTACATCCATGGTTTACGCTCGATCGAGGCGAGCCATTGCTGCCGTATTGTTTTCGGCGTACGTGCTGCTGAACTCATATCGGGTTACCAGAGATCGCGAAGAGCGAAAAGTTCTGCGATCGCTCGAGCTCCCAGAACCGCCAGGTTTCCGTTCGTCCTTCGGGGGATTCTACTCGATGCGTCTAGGTCTCCCATTCCTGTCTCGCGTCGCAAGGAATGCGTTCCCGGCTTCAGCCCAGAAACACCATGGCGATTCCGTGAGGCGATCCTGTGAGGATGATACCGGAACACCGAACACAACGAAGGTGGACCCGCCTGTTCGCCCGCAGCAGATTTTGCTCCGAAGGATATTTCTGAGGAATTCCTTCGTACACATGCTCCTTCCGATAGGGGGTCTCGCATCCGCGTCTCGACCCAAAGTCGGAATCCGATTTTCTCCCCACCATCCCCCTTTCGAGGAACCATTTGGACGGGGAACTGTTGTGAAGTTCCGGCCTATCTGACGATCGCCGAGAGACGGTGTCCATTACCACCGGAAGTCATGGAGGAAGCCATATGCGTGTTGGACCTCTTTTATTGCTCGATCGATACCTTCAGGCTTCGCCCCCGATTCTTATGCACACCGAGGACCGCCACCAGTCAGCAGAGGGAAAGGCTCAGCCTCTATGACGTTGAATCGATCATCTCAAGAAGTATACACCCGTCGTTATAATCAATTCAGAACTTGGCGTTCCTCGAAAAATAGGTACCGTTCATCTTTCGAGGTACCTACACGAAGTGTAATGCTCGACCTACAGTGCTGTTGTTTGGATTGTCTGGCACAGCTAATATACAAACTATTGTTTGTCTTGAGAAGTGAGCATAGTTTCGCAGCTCCCAGAGGCCTTCTATCTTCAGTCGGAGTTTGTTGGCGTCATCGGTAGCTGACACGGCCAGCTACAATGCGTACGGGAGACTAAGCAAGGTGTTCTAAGTGGGGACGCAGACATTGTGGCGCAACAGTCACTCCCCGGGCGGGAACCTCCGCAGGGAAATGTGCGGTGAAGCCTTGTAGGGCTGCTGAATGTTAGAGGTAGATAAGCGCTAATTGTTCGGGGTCGCGCGTCGGACCGGCGTCGTTACCAGCGGAATAGGGCCGCGCGCCCGCGCTTTCCGCCGGTCTCGTCCCTAATGTATGTAGGATTCAGAGGACACACTCGCTCTGTGCCATGTGCGAAAATATGAGGATCTTCACGACATTGACACGGAGGACTGAATGCGATCGTATCCATGGAATCAAGTCAGAATCAGGGAAGAGCGTAATTATATCAACTTACCTGAAAAGCACCGGCATCTGTGTTGGCGCGATTGGGATCGGATGCTTCAACTACGAGCATGAAAGCAACGAACCTCTGCACAGGAGAGCCGAGGACTTCTTTCGGAGCTTGGATGGACACTGCAAGATAAAGTTATAATGAATGAGGAGGAGTTCTGCACTTGCCCCCTCTGAACTCTACGAGCAGGACCAGCGTCGCATGTGCAGCGGAAGTTTCGCTGGGAGAAAATATGTTTCTTCCGAAATAAAGATTATTCCCGAGGAATACACGAGACGCACGATCTGATGCCGACCTTCTCCCAGCTCGGTCGAACAACGTCCGGTCGTTTCTCAGCACGTATAAAACGTTCGCGCTCTTGAATATTCATCTCTGCTGGAGCGAGACTTCCGTGAATGTTTGAATAATCATCCCAAGAGGTTTCCACATATATCGCTGCCTACGTATCACATCCTGATCGAGATCAGACGAAAATCGGCGAGCGTCTCTATGTGAACTTCCCGGAGCTTGGAATCCATGAGCCAATGGGCCTAATGGAGAACTTATGAGGGCGGACAAGTTCGGGGTCTTGATCGCCATGTCGTCACCGACCATCGACAATTGCGACGGCGAAAAAACAGACAGACGAAGCGACAGCACACCAGGGAAGCCGGCAGAGGAGCTGGCTAGCTCGACTCACCGGCCTTCCCGTCTCCTGTGAAGAAGGAAGCCATCTGCATAGGGGAGCCGCGGTCCGGAGCCCCAGCCTCTTATTCCTTGAGTGAAGACAGCACGAGTCGAGGACGTGAGAGAGCCACCGGAGGAGATACGAACGATTCGCTCTTTCCTCCCGAGTGCTTCCCAAGCTTATTAGCCCGACAGCCAGCCGAGCGGTCAGCCGCTCGGTCAAGCAGGCAACAGACGGCCCATCACGGCCATTTAATTCAGATATGCTCACAAGCCAGCAAGCCGTGGAGCTCCTCCACGCGATGCTTCTTGTGCCGCTCGAGTGAAGAACAAGAAACATTCGTATGTGGGCACCTACATACATTGAAACGTAACGTTGCGACTCAGAATTCGTCGAAATGATTCTCCGATCGACGGCAAGCGACCCTGAGCCGGATCCGGATTCGGGCAGAGGTATTCGTCAGGGCCAGACAAGGAATATCGCTCCGATGATCGCCATTCTTAGAATCGGTCCGTCGTCACACGGTTGCGAGACGATTCCCCGCTAACTACCACGAAGTACTTACTCTTCACAACCTCTGCAGGATTGTATTTCAGGTGGCGTCTCAGCCACCCTTGACGCTCGCTACTTTATGATATTCGATGAAAGCTTTCATTCGATTACCTGTGGACCCATCAATCGGGAACCTGTCAAGCGGTAGGAGCATATCTACCATCGCTACCGTGACGTCCGCATTTTTCGGAGCTCTGATGTGGAAACTGAAGAGACGAAGCCATGTGTCTTCTTCAATTTAGCGGAGGTCTGCTGAAGTCTCCATCGGGCACAAGTCTCTTGTTATATCGAAGCTTTCTCCCAAACTTCCCGGAAACATGATGAGGTGTTAGCGAAATCAGGCAATCTTTCTTGAAATGAAGCGTGCTTGGTCGATCGCCGAGAGCTCCGTTCACACGAGAGCGCTTTTGAGCTGTGAACAACCTTCCTGAACAATGAGAAACAAAAAGCCGATCTCAGGATATCCTGATTCGCCGTCTCCAGAGAGAAATTTAGTCGACCAGAGCATTGGCAGTCTCAGTGGCTTCGATGGAGCCCCAGGGATCGGCGATGGATGAATTTCCGTCTTATCGAATCGAAATCAATACGCGTCCATTATAGCACTTTTAGAATGAGACCTGAGGTGTCAAGTTGAAGGATGCGCGAGTGCCACACAAGGAGCGCGGCGACCCGGCCAGCTGGAGCCGTGGAGAGAAATTCGGGGCCTGGAAGAACTCAGCTTAGAGCCCTTCTACATGATCGTCTCGCATCTTCCACTCCGTAGATATCGTAGAAATGCCGGCTCGGGCACAAAAGAAAATGAATATCGGACGCAGGCTGAGAAATTCCACCGGACTGAAGGGCCCGCTCAGGAAGTCTCGGCCCGTGGGAATAGTTTCGTTGCCTCCCCTCTGATCCAGCGGCGTACGCAGGATTCGTCTTGGGGGCTGGATCGGGTGCGGGACGATGGTCAATAAGTTCCGGTGTCTCACAACTGTCGCTGTTCGAAGGACGCGGCAGAGTTCCTTGTCGAGAGTTATTCGGAGATAAGTTTCAGTTGCTAAAAATGAGGCCGCGGGGATTCGCATGTAGGTACCCAAGAATGTTTCCGAACGAAGTAGGTGAACGACTGGCGGTCACTGGTCTGGAAAAATACAGAATCTCCTGCGGCTGAGGGTATTTCAGGTGCTGTGGTCGCAGCTGAAGTTCTAGGGAGGAAGTGTGCGCGGAACAGTTGCTGGTGAATGGTCGTCACTCGACAAGACTGTCATGGGTCCAATGGAAGTGCACCAAGTCGATGGTGGAATGCAACCGCTCTTTCTACTGTATGTACAATATCCCGGTCATTCTCTCGCTCTATGGCCGTTTGGAGCTCGCAGGATATGGGAAGGATAGAGCGTTTCGCATCCCGAGTTGATGATGAGAAATACCTTCCGTATATCAGCTATAGCTGCATCGCTATATTTCGAAATCATACATTGGAATAAAATGTCGAATTCTGAAGAATTTTTAAACGATGAGTGTGTTGCGCGACCTACTATATCACCATCCGAGTCTTGGAAGAATCCAGCGGGCTCAGTCGCAAGCTCGTAAACGGCTCCTCTGTTCTCCGCTATAAATTGTTGATGCGGCTCAGCAGTTTCGCTATCGCTTCTATAAGATAAGCAAAACACTTGAGGGGTCAAAAATCGACACCAAGCTTCGGATTCTCCTCGCACAATCATGAGTCGCTCAACGTCGATCACGTCTATTGTAAACTGATCATCGATGACGGAAGTCGTCAATGAGTTTTACCCCAGTTTCCCAGGTCATTTAGGTCTCAGAGACATGAGAATAGCGGAGAACATTGAGACCAATCGGGGAAAGAGCCAGGTAGCCGTATATTCATCATGTGATCTTATCACCCGACGCAGGATTCGACCCTAAGGCCCTCCCTGCCAACCCGTCGACAGCCGGGTTACGGAAGTGTTACAGAACGATTGATGCGCACGGGGGGCTACGCGGAGGAACAGAGCTGGGCGAAACACGGAAAGTATAGTGGAGATCTCTCCTCGTCCAACTGTAGCTCGTGGAATTGATAGCCACTCAAGGGATTTGCGCAGCCGGCGAAGACACTCTGATTGGATTGTCCGCCTAGTGACTGCTGAATAGAGCGGTTCGCCACTGCGCTTTCGGCTACCCCTGGGGCGGCTCTTGTGACCGCCCTTGTGGCTGCCCTTTCGGCTGCCCTTGTGGTTGCTGACGATGGACATACGGAGCATTCACCTGGTCAGAGAGGAAGCACGAGAGCAGAAGAGCGAGCGTGTTGCACACGGCGCGCCGCGCTGCGATCACCTGTGGCTCCGAAGCTCAGCGCTGGTTCCTCTTATCGCGTGCACGAATACGAACGACATAAGACATTTGCGCTCACGAGCGAATCATCGCATCCGGTACTGTCCGCCATGGCCTCTCCTATCCGGGAGGGCTGCTTCGAGTATCGTCGCGTCGTCCAGCTATCGCTGTGAACTGGTGGGCGAGCAGGCGGGCAGGCAGGCAGGCGTGCAGGTCGTTCTTCTCCCGTGCACTAGACGAGGAGCGATGCCGTGCGCGGAGTTCTACTCTCGTAATGTCGAGCACGCGGTGGATGTTTGTCATTCCTTTCTCCATCTAGTTTGTCGTTCCCGCACGTGCATTCCCGCTTTTTTTCGACAAGAAGCAGTGCCGGGGAACGAACCGATCCGCTCGATCCTTAGGATTGATACGCTCCGCTAGCTCCGACGCTGACAGGCCGACTCCGGCGGCGAATATCAGTGGAAGGTAAGGAGTCGAACGGAACTGGATCCTTACCTCTTATGTGTCATTTTTCGGTACGCCGCTAAGCTCGTGATGCTCGAGCCTGAGTAGTACATACATACAACGTGAATGTTTTGAAGGGTCCATAGAACGTTCACCGGCCCGTCCCTATCTGAAGAACGTCGATAAAGTCGGTGATATCGATCTCGACTCATACGCACCTATGACCGAATTTCTACTTTCTGGACGTTCAGAGTACGCTGTATCGACACAGAAAACACGCATTCAGTTCGACGAGGCCTGTGCCTGAGCGAGCAAGCAGTCATTTTTCCCCGTGTTCGAGGGAGCGAGAATACAGCAATAACGGCTCGAGCAGCGACGAGGATACCAACGCCAAGTAGAGGAGCGTGGCCGACGGTCGTTGAATATTATCTACTGCCGTGCTTTTTTCGCCTTCTTATCGGCCCGAATTTCCATGGCATACTGACGGCACTTACCAGCCGCGATATGCCAGATAGTCTAGTGAGTCTGTGCAAAGAATGAACCTGAGCGAGACTTCTCTCATTCTTGCGGATTGGAGAAAGTCCAACAGGTGCCAGGGGACTAGATTGAGAACCCTTGGCTCATGGCGAGCCTCGTGATATACAACATCTCCGATGCAAGACCAATGTCTCTCGTGGAGCTCCGTTCACGTTTTCACGCATAGGAAGCAAAAGCGATATAGGAGCCGGCCTGCGAGAGCAAAAAAAATCCAAGGAAAACGGTTAGATTCCGAAAGACGAGAGCGCGCCCGTCGCGAAGAGACCGACGCGACAAACTGAGGAGAAACCAAGCGATGAGCGACCATCAACCAGCTCCGTCCGCGGGCCCGTTCGTCGGCTCATGCGTTCCCTGTGAAGCATGGTTGGTGTGTCATCGTGAGAGCGTCAGAATTATCTTTTTCTGCGCGGTCCCATCCCTCCCCAGGCCCGAGATTCCGAGCGACGAGTTTCCTTTTGCGACGTTTTGCTCTCCGAGCTGCTCTACGCTCATGCGGCACTGCCTAATGGTTCCAAGCTTGCCGACCATGACATTAGACGATGGTAGTCAAGCTCAACAGATCGTAGGAGATTCCCCTATCTCCACATCCATCACGGTACTAGATGAGTTGAT